CCTGGCTCGCAGTCGGCGTTCCAATTCATCCCAAAGATGTTCGATAAGGTTGAGGTCAGGGCTCTGTTCAGGCCAGTCAAGTTCTTCCACACCGATCTCGACAAACCATTTCTGTATGGACCTCGCTTTGTGCATGGGGGCATTGTCATGCTGAAACAGGAAAGGGCCTTCCCCAAACTGTTCCCACAAAGTTGGAAGCACAGAATAGTCTAGAATGTCATTGTATGCTTTAGCGTTAAGATTTCCCTTCACTGGAACTAAGGGGCCTAGCCCGAACCATGAAAAACAGCCCCAGACCATCATTCCTCCTCCACCAAACTTTACAGTTGGCACTATACATTGGGGCAGGTAGCGTTCTCCTGGCATCCGCCAAATCCAGATTCGTCCATCGGACTACCAGATGGTGCTTGGCTTCAGCACTCGGCGGTCCCATTTTGTGAGCTTGTGTGGCCTACCTTCGCGGCTGAGCCAATGTTGCTCCTAGACGTTTCCACTTCACAATTGACCGGGGCAGCTCTAGCAGGGCAGAAATGTGACAAACTGACTTGTTGGAAAGGTGGCATCCTATGACGGTGCCATTTTGAAAGTCACTGAGCTCTTCAGTAAGGACATTCTACTGCCAATATTTGTCTATGGAGATTGCATGGCTGTGTGCTCGATTTTATACACCTGTCAGCAACGGGTGTGGCTGAAATAGCCAAATCTACTAATTTGAATGGGTGTCCACATACCTTTGTATACAGTTGAAGTCGGAAGTTTACATACACTTAGGTTGGAGTCATTAAAACTTGTTTTTCAACCACTCCACAAATGTCTTGTTAACAAATGATTGTTTTGGCAAGTCGGTTAGGACATCTACTTTGTGCATGACACAAGTAATTTTTACAACAATTGTTTACAGACAGATTATTTGATTTATAATTCACTGTATCACAATTCCAGTGGGTCAGAAGTTTACATACACTAAGTTGACTGTGCCTTTAAACAGCTTGGAAAATTCCAGAAAATGATGTCATGGCTTTAGAAGCTTCTGATAGGCTAATTGACATCATTTGAGTCAATTTGAGGTGTACCTGTGGATGTATTTCAAGGCCTACCTTCAAACTCAGTGCCTCTTTGCTTGACATCATGGGAAAATCAAAAGAAATCAGCCAAGACCTCAGAAAAAACAATGGTAGACCTCCACAAGTCTGGTTCATCCTTGGGAGCAATTTTCAAACGCCTGAAGGTACCACGTTCATCTGTACAAACAATAGTATGCAAGTATAAACACTATGGAACCACGCAGCCGTCATACCACTCAGGAAGGAGACGCGTTCTGTCTCCTAGAGATGAACGTACTTTGGTGCGAAAAGTGCAAATCAATCCCAGAACAACAACAAAGGACCTTGTGAAGATGCTGGGGGAAACAGGTACAAAAGTATCTATATCCACAGTAAAACAAGTCCTATATCGACATCAACACCGCTCCAAAACCGCCATAAAAAAGTCAGACTACGGTTTGCAACTGCATATGGGGACAAAGATCGTACTTTTTGGAGAAATGTCCTCTGGTCTGATGAAACAAAAATAGAACTGTTTGACCATCATGACCATCGTTATGTTTGGAGGAAAAAGGGGTTTCTTGCAAGCCGAAGAACACCATCCCAACTGTGAAGCATGGGGGTGGCAGCATCATGCTGTGGGGGTGCTTTGTTGCAGGAGGGACTGGTGCACTTCACAAAATAGATGGCATCATGAGGAAGGAAGATTATGTGGATATATTGAAGCAACATCTCAAGACCTCAGTCACGAAGTTAAAGCTTGGTTGCAAATTGGTCTTCCAAATGGACAATGATCCCAAGCATACTTTCAAAGTTGTGGCAAAATGGCTTAAGGACAACAAAGTCAAGGTATTGGAGTGGCCATCACAAAGCCCTGACCTCGATCCTATAGAAAATGTGTGGGCAGAACTGAAAAAGCGTGTGCAACCAAGAAGGCCTACAAACCTGACTCAGTTACATCAGCTCTGTCAGGAGGAATGGACCAAAATTCACCCAACTTATTGTGGGAAGCTTGTGGAAGGCTACCCGAAACGTTTGACCCAAGTTAAACAATTTAAAGGCAATGTTACCAAATACTAATTGAGTTTATGTAAACATTTCACATTCTTAAAATAAAGTGGTGATCCTAACTGACCTAAGACAGGGAATTTTTACTAGGATTAAATGTCAGGAACTGTGAAAAACTGAGTTTAAATGTATTTTGCTAAGGTGTATGTAAACTTCTGACTTCAACTGTATATAGTGTACAGTGAGGGAAAAAAGTATTTGATCCCCTGCTGATTTTGTACGTTTGCCCACTGACAAAGAAATGATCCGTCTATAATTTTAATGGTAGGTTTATTTGAACAGTGAGAGACAGAATACCAACAAAAAAATCCAGAAAAACGCATGTCAAAAATGTTATAAATTGATTTGCATTTTAATGAGGGAAATAAGTATTTGACCCCCTCTCAATCAGAAAGATTTCTGGCTCCCAGGTGTCTTTTATACAGGTAACGAGCTGAGATTAGGAGCACACTCTTGAAGGGAGTGCTCCTAATCTCAGTTTGTTACCTGTATAAAAGACACCTGTCCACAGAAGCAATCAATCAATCAGATTCCAAACTCTCCACCATGGCCAAGACCAAATAGCTCTCCGAAGATGTCAGGGACAATATTGTAGACCTACACAAGGCTGGAATGGGCTACAAGAACATCGCCAAGCAGCTTGGTGAGAAGGTGACAACAGTTGGTGCGATTATTCGCAAATGGAAGAAACATAAAATAACTGTCAATCTCCCTCGGCCTGGGGCTTCATGCAAGATCTCACCTTGTGGAATGCAATGAGGAATTGCAATGAGGAATCAGCCCAGAACTACACGGGAGAATATTGTCAATGATCTCAAGGCAGCTGGGACCATAGTCACCAAGAAAACAATTGGTAACACACTACGCCGTGAAGGACTGAAATCCTGCAGCGCCCGCAAGGTCCCCCTGCTCAAGAAAGCACATATACAGGCCCATCTGAAGTTTGCCAATGATCATCTGAATGATTCAGAGGAGAACTGGGTGAAAGTGTTGTGGTCAGATTAGACCAAAATCGAGCTCTTTGGCATCAACTCAACTCGCCGTGTTTGGAGGAGGAGGAATGCTGCCTATGACCCCAAGAACACCATCCCCACCATCAAACATGGAGGTGGAAACATTATGCTTTGGGGGTGTTTTTCTGCTAAGGGGACAGGACAACTTCACTGCATCAAAGGGACGATGGACGGGGCCATGTACCGTGAAATCTAGGGTGAGAACCTCCTTCCCTCAGCCAGGGCATTGAAAATGGGTCGTAGATGGGTATTCCAGCATGACAATGACCCAAAACACACGGCCAAGGCAACAAAGGAGTGGCTCAAGAAGAAGCACATTAAGGTCCTGGAGTGGCCTAGCCAGTCTCCAGACCTTAATCCCATAGAAAATCTGTGGAGGGAGCTGAAGGTTTGAGTTGCCAAACGTCAGCCTCGAAACCTTAATGACTTGGAGAAGATCTGCAAAGAGGAATGGGACAAAATCCCTCCTGAGATGTGTGCAAACCTGGTAGCCAACTACAAGAAACGTCTGACCTGTGTGATTGCCAACAAGGGTTTTGCCACCAAGTACTAAGTCATGTTTTGCAGAGGGGTCAAATACTTATTTCCCTCATTAAAATGCAAATCAATTTATAACATTTTTGACATGCGTTTTTCTGGATTGTTTTGTTGTTATTCTGTCTCTCACTGTTCAAATAAACCTACCATTAAAATTATAGACTGATCATGTCTTTGTCAGTGGGCCAACGTACAAAATCAGCAGGGGATCAAATACTTTTTTCCCTCACTGTACCTACTAATCACGTTTCCATCCACAGGTTTTATGCGAGTAAAGTAATGCCGTATATAAGAAAATCACGACAGCTGTGATAGAAACAGGAATTTTCTCAACAATTATATAAATGCAGACAGATAATTTGTTTGTTCAACATGGTGGGATCGTTTTGTGTCGATAAAATTAATGATGCGAGAAATGGCGGTGGAAACGTCTTTATACGCAAATATTGATATAATAACCATCATATCGAAGTAAACTAGGAGTCACAAGATGATATGGTGTGTGGACCTCCCACTATGACTCAGGAAACCATGCTGTTTATTAGGCTACAGATTAAATAAGTCATGATGAACTTCACAGCGTGGTGAAAGACCAATTGTGGGAAAATGCACATCTTTTCTTTACATGGATTTTAGAATATTCGCATGAAAACCTGTCCCCAAATGGATGGAAACCTAGCTACTGACATACGTAACAAGGGGACATGTCACATGCATTTGAGTCCCATAGGGAGCTCTTTAAATGTTGCCATGGCGGTGTTTGTTTAAAACTCCTCAGGTTGTGCTATGGTCAAGTGAACCGAAGGTCAACAAGTCCAGTTAGAACTCCAGCACATAACTTGAGACTGTGACCCTCATATGAACTTGGACAGAACCCATGTCCTAATGTAAACAACAGTTAGAAATTCTGAAAAACATTAGAAAAATGTAGCTCTGCTATGTTTCTGAGTGGTTTGTACATTAGACAACAAGCTAAACAAGGCTCTTAAATATGGGCTGATATAACAACATAAGCCCTCCTGGTTATCAATAGGGCTTCATCTTTCACAGTTGTCCATTTAGAAGCTGTCCCCCCCCCCCCAGGATCATGGATATAAGGCAGGGGAAAGTCAATGAGTATTCTTCGAGGGAAGTCAGCTCTGTCTCCATTGCAGCTCACATTGGTAAAGCAAAAATAGCATGGGGTCATTGAGGCCTAACCTACACATAACTCAGATACTCCAGACCAGACCTTCGTCCATATTCCAGTTACTGTTTTCCTTACTGCCCCTGTTAACATGCTGACATGGAACCAAAATAGGAACCCATGCGTCCTTCTTATCACACACGCAGATAGAGGCTAAGCCACGCAACAGTACTTCTTCCACCATGATTTAGAAAGCTTCTTCATCTTGTCTGGAGTCCGTTTTTTCAGTCTATGCTGCTGCTGACTGTCAGAGTGCTGGATGCTGGCCACGATGGCTGCGTCAAACACCTCTTTGAGGTTCTTCTGGGTGAGTGAGGAGCATTCCATGTGTGACACGGCCCTCATGTCCTCGGCACACTGCTGGGCCTCCTGGGGCTCGACTGGCCTCTCTTTATACTTGGCCAGCTCGATCAGAACATTAACATCCTCCCGCAGGTCCGACTGGGTGCCCACCAGAACCACCGGCGCCTGCGGGCAGTGCCGGCGAATCTCCGGCACCCATTTCTCTGTTACATTCTGGAAGGAGGAGGGGCTGACGACGCTGAAGCACAGCAGGAAGATGTCTGCGTTGGTGTAGCAGAGCGGACGCAGCTTGTCAAACTCATCCTGCAGGGAGAGGAGAGGAGGAGAGGAGAGGAGGAGAGGAGAGAGGAGAGGAGAGGAGGAGAGAAAATCAGGAGAGGAGAGGAGAGGAGAGGAGAGGAGAGGAGAGGAGAGGAGAGGGGGGTTCATGACACGTCTTTGAGTACACTCTTAGAAAAAAAGGTTTCATCTAGAACCTAAAATGGTTATTCGGCTGTCCCCATAGGAGAACCCTTTGAATAACCTTTTTTGGTCAGAGGTAGAACCTTTTTGGTTCCTGAAACCAAAAAGGGTTCTACCTGGAACCAAAAAGGGTTCTCCTATGGGGACAGCTGAAGAACCCTTTTGGAACCCTTTTTTCTAAGAGTGTAGAGGGTTGACAAGGGCATAGTCAAGAGAAGAAAAATCCTGCCCTCATTGGCTAAGATGTCACCATGTGCATGGCTGTAACTAGTGGAGCCTCAACCTCATGACAAAGTGTCTCTGGCAGGCAGGAACACACACTGTGTCCACAACCTGACAACACATGACACCTGTATCAGTTTCTGTTAGAGTGACAAAGTCTACATGCTGTAGTGTTTCTGATTAGGGACAGCTCTTTCAGCATAGCCTACAGTTGATTTGAATCTCCTTTAATGTTGCTGAACTACCAATAGCTAAATTGGAGAAGAGAGAGAGCATTATTAAATTGCTAGAACATAACTATATTATAGATTAAAATATTTATACTGAACAAAAATATAAAACGCAACAAGCAACAATTTCAACGATTTTACTGAGTTACAGTTCCTTTAAGGAAATCAGTCAATTGAGATAAATTCATTAGGCCCTAATCTATGGATTTCACATAACTGGGCAGGGGTGCAGCCATGGGTGGGCCTGGGAGGGCATAGGCCCACCTCTTGGGAGCCAGGCCCAGCCAATCAGAATGAGTTTTACCCCACAAAAGGGCTTTATTACAGACAGAAATACTCCTCAGCACCCCCCCACCCCCCTACACAATCCCGCAGGTGAAGAAGCCGGATGTGGAGGTCCTGGGCTGGCGTGGTTACCCGTGGTCTGCGGTTGTGAGGCCGGTTGGACATACTGCCAAATTCTCTAAAACGACGGCTTATGGTAGAGAAATGAACATAACATTTTCTGGCAACAGCTCTGGTGGACATTCCTGCAGTCAGCATGCCAATTGCACGCTCCCTCAAAACTTGACACATCTGTGGCATTGTGTTGTGCAACAAAAATGCATATGGCCTTTTATTGTCCCCAGCACAAGGTGCACCTGTGTAATGATCATGCTGTTTAATCAGCTTCTTGATATGCCACACCTGTCAGGTGGTGGATGGATTATCTTGGCAAAAGAGAAATGCACCAATAGGGATGTAAACAAAATTGTGCACAAACTTTGAGAGAAATAAGCTTTTTGTGCGTATGGAACATTTATGGGATTTTTTATTTCAGCTCATGAAACATGGGACCAACACTTTACATGTTGCGTTTATATTTTTGTTCAGTGTACATAAGACTATGAACCATAGTCCACATTTTGTCTGACTGACTCCCAAAAGGAATTTGTGATGACGATCATGCAGCTAAATGAAAGAGAGAAAGTGTGATGAGGCTGTTGAGAGGGTAGAGGAGGAAAACATTTCTGATTCACAGTTGGCACAGCAAACCACTACCCCACTGCCCAATCTCTGTAAGTATAAGGATATGTGATTTTCACCAGCTAAAGAGCCCCTGAGTGGAGCGGTGACATCATTTATATCACCAGCTAAAGAGCCCCTGAGTGGAGCGGTGACATCATTTATATCACCAGCTAAAGAGCCCCTGAGTGGAGCGGTGACATCATTTATATCACCAGCTAAAGAGCCCCTGAGTGGAGCGGTGACATCATTTATATCACCAGCTAAAGAGCCCCTGAGTGGAGCGGTGACATCATTTATATCACCAGCTAAAGAGCCCCTGAGTGGAGCGGTGACATCATTTATATCACCAGCTAAAGAGCCCCTGAGTGGAGCGGTGACATCATTTATATCACCAACTAAAGAGCCCCTGAGTGGAGCGGTGACATCATTTATATCACCAGCTAAAGATCCTCTGAGTGGTGCGGTGACATCATTTATATCACCAACTAAAGAGCCCCTGAGTGGAGCGGTGACATCATTTATATCACCAGCTAAAGATCCTCTGAGTGGTGCGGTGACATCATTTATATCACCAACTAAAGAGCCCCTGAGTGGAGCGGTGACATCATTTATATCACCAGCTAAAGAGCCTCTGAGTGGAGCGTGACATCATTTATATCACCAGCTAAAGAGCCTCTGAGTGGAGCGGTGACATCATTTATATCACCAGCTAAAGAGCCCCTGAGTGGAGCGGTGACATCATTTATATCACCAGCTAAAGAGCCCCTGAGTGGAGCGGTGACATCATTTATATCACCAGCTAAAGAGCCTCTGAGTGGAGCGGTGACATTAGTGGCAGCTCAGCATTGCAGGGGAGTTCCAGCGGTAAACATCCAACCCATGGGCCATTGCACTGACGCCAATATGTGTGCTTATCTTTGCTTATTACACAACATTCAGATTACGTTTGCATATCTCCAATACATCTAGTTCTATTGGAGGGACGATAACGCTGGCATTCCACTGAGATTATATTTTGTTGTTAATTGACAAACGTGCATTCCATCGCTCTCTCTCATCTGTTTCTCTGATACACCCAGCTTGTGTGTACCCATTGCTTCCTGAAAGAGATTTTAATAGTGCATTTCCCTCTTCAGAGGGTAGCAGCAAAGGGTCTCCAGATCATTTCTGATTGGCTGGGAGTTAATTAGTGGTATCAGGAACCCAATGAGGTCAACAACATCCCCAGGAAGAGTTGCTGCTGCTTCAGCACTAGCTACTGGGGATCCCAATAAAATACTAAAACATTGACTGTGAGGGACCCTGTGGTTGGTATTCAGGCAGTCTTCTGCATGCTTAGTATGCTAAATACACAGACTCAGTTATGCCCAGGGGAGTAGGGTGACATTGATCTTTGAAAAGGTAATAACTATTATTTTGTTGAATTGGCTCAGCCATTATCTCACATTTGCAGCACATCATGGGGTTGGGCGGGCAGCTGGGGCAAAATATTCATGCAAACGGAAATGTCATCTTGATTATTTTTCTATGTAACCAAGGTTTAACTATGCTATAACTATGATATTGCTTGCATTGTCTTGTAAAAAATAATTTCAAAACAATTGAAAAGATCATTGGTGTCTAATGAAAAGCTCATCGGCTTAGAGCCTCACTGCAAAGAGACAAAGCAGAACCCTATGAACCCACAGAGCTCAGCCTCCAGCCAGGGACTCTCTGTGTCTAGACAGAACCGCTCTGGATCTCTCTTGGCCTGCTTTCCTGGGCTGTTTTCCACTGCTGACTCTCTCCAGCCTGCTCTGCTCCTCAGAAACAGACCCATCTCCTCTGAGCAGCCCCAGCTGTGCCGAAGCTACGTTTCCTTTCCAGGCTCATATTCAATTCATTACACTTATAAGGTTTCCTATCTGTAATCCCCCCAAGCCTGTTACCCCCTCCCATGTGGGGGAGACAGCATTTATCTGAGTAACCTCATTTATGGTGAAGACTCATGACTGGTCCCGTGTAGCTCAGTTGGTAGAGCATGGCGTTTGCAACGCCAGGGTTGTGGGTTCGATTCCCACAGGGGGCCAGTATGAAAATGTATGCACTCACTAACTGTAAATCGCTCTGGATAAGAGCATCTGCTAAATGACTAAAATGTAAATGACAGGACAAAAACACTACTGGAGCACATCAATTTAGACAGATCCCTTATCTCCCCTACACTAGTAGACCATTTGAACCCATTCTGTACATGTAGTAGCCTAGTAATGCATAGGGGGTTAGAAGAAGTTTGAGACATTTTAGGAACAGCAAAAAGGTCAACTTTGTTTGTTTGTAACTAATCCTTTACACTTCCAGGAGTGTAGCGATCATATGAAACTGTCCTAGAGGTGTATTTTAATTACAAACCTGCCCAGCTGTGTCACAAAGCTGCAGTTTCACTGGCTTGCCATCAACTGCCACAACCGCTGAAAGAAAAAATACAACAAATTATAAATTTAATCAGCCAATATAACAAAGAATAAATTGGTAACCACAATGCCATTAACTACTGTTAAGGCCAGAACAGTGTTGTTATGGACAAACTATTGTGTATAATAATTACCATAGTCTTCCTGTTGCCAATGTATGGCAGCAGACAGTTGGCAGAAATTTTACTCAAGCTGAATTTAAAATTGCTGTCAGTCTGAGGCTGAGTAGAAATATAGGCTAATCAAGAATTTACCTGTTAAATGTGCTGTTAAAAGGGCCTGAGAAAAACAATTAATTGCATATGCCAATAGGACCACAATAGGTCCTAATAGCCTACCTGACTTCAAAAGGCACATATTTGTCAAGTTACCTGAAAAATTATCAAAAGCAGTTGGGACATATTCAGTTGGATATCCATTTGTGGTATAGCTGACAATCAAGCTCGTCTTTCCAACTGCGCCGTCACCGACAAGCACACACTTCACTTTGCGCTCTCCGCCACCGGACCAACACTTGGAGCCCGAAAACGACTCTCTGCTCCGAACCCTCCGAGGGGGAACCGGTGGGACCGCCGACACTGCTACAGGTTTATATTCTCCATCGCCCTGGGGAGGCATCGCCTTGTGGTATAGCCAATGGAACCGTCCAGCAACCAGTTAATCCTAGTTTCGCCAAACCATTAGTTTCCTAGATCTGACATCAACGTGACTTTCACAAGAACTGCCCCTTATCTTCTGTAGTGTTCCATGGTTGGAAAAAGTGTGGCCTTTCTATAAAGACGATGCAGACACCTTGATGTCAATCCCCCATTGTACAGAAATAAATTCCTCAAGCAATAAGTCCAATAGGAGAAAATGTTTCCACCCCGTATGATTTGAAGTTTCTTTCCTGAATCTTTTCCACATTTGTAGTTCGCACTCCCCTCCCCTACTCAGCCCTATGACTGTAAAAAACAGCTCAGCCTTCTACTCCTGAGCAGTATGACATCATCAAACACCACTGAGTCAGAAAAAAGATTGCACCATTGACCAATAGCAATAAGCTATATTAAATGTCTTGGTAGATTGCAAATATATCCTACCTAGAATTTGATTCTTTTTTTTGTGCAAAAATTTTGTTTTATAAACTAAAATAAATAAATAAGTAATTTGTAAGGCTTCGTCTGTTCAATGGTTTCTAATTCTCTACTATTCATGGTTAAGTTTTAACCGGCGAAATTGTTACATGTTTTGTACACAATTGTTACATTTGTATCCCTCAGCCTGTTTGATCTCACCAACAGTATCACTTCTCTCCGATGATATGGCTGAGCGATGATACAGTAGCTGAAGTCTGCCACCTGGTGGACTTTGACAGGAAATATTCTATATTGACTGACTTCATTTTTTATTACCTTTATTTAACTAGGCAAGTCAGTTAAGAACAAATTCTTTTTTAGCCCTATGGGACTCCCAATCACGACCGGATTGTGAATCGAAACAGGGTCTGTAGTGACCCTAGCACTGAGATGCAGTGCCTTAGACCGCTGCGCCACTCGGGAGCCCACTGACGACGTGACAGAGACAACTATTCAGCATTTCTTGGACCTACAGATACATTTAATTACGGTTTCCGAGGTACGCCACACTATTTTAATTAAGGTGTTTCAATTGCAAATAAGCGATATGGCAGGAGCGCGAATTACACGGAACGTTTGCCTCCTAAAAGTATTGTTCCACTCCGGACATATTTTAAAGTTACAACCTTGACGCACGTTGGAATTTGTTGGGACAGACAGCTAGCCAGCGATTGAAGGAATACGATCAAATCAACGTTACTTGGCAAATAGTTAAATTAACACTATGGCAGAAACAGGGGTTGCTCTTGGCTTTTTGGAGGAGGCCGAACACTGGCTACTACAGAGTCATCAGTTCCCCAGCAAAGTTGGAGGCAAACCTGCATGGTTGAGTCAGTTGGACATCCCAAGTCTTCCTGAGTTAGCATGTGGAAAATGCCAACTTCATACAGCATTTCTCTTGCAGGTTTACGCTCCAATAACTGGACAGGATATAAGTTTTCACCGAACTCTTTTTGTATTCTGCTGCAAGACACCAGACTGCTATTCACGAAACGACAGCCGTTGCCTGAAAGGTAAATAGCATTTAGCTAGCTAGCTATTGCATTTCCATCAACATCAAACCTATAGTCACATGGTCAGGGATGGGAATGAGAGGGGCACACTAAAAGGCTGGGATTATCCCACCGCTACCACCATTGTAATTACTGTGGTGCAACAGTTGGAGTGGGGCTTGAATTTTCAAACCTGTTACAGGGCAATCACACTACCACAGATGGAACAATGAGCCAGAGATTTCACCGGATGTATAGGTGTTGGCGTTTTCCACTCACTACCAAATATGGTGATGAGAGGAAGCCCAGTGGCCGGCAGTGGAAGATGGAGCCAGATGGATTTTGGCCGACATTATGCAAGTTTTCTCATCGATGAAACGTTTGATGTCAATACAGTTCTGTTCCCAAAACTAGAATCTATTACAGAGTGGACAAAGTTTTGTAGATTTTACCATTCACCAAATAAAAAAAGTTGTTTAGTAGGGGTGCAAGGGCACGAGCTTTTTTGCCATCAAGGAAAACGCTATGTCTGGCGCAAACCCAACACCTCTCATCACCCCGAGAACACCATCCCCACAGTGAAGCATGGTGGTGGCAGCATCATGCTGTGGGGATGTTTTTCATTGCCAGGGACTGGGAAACTGGTCAGAATTGAAGGAATGATGGATGGCGCTAAATACAGGGAATTTCTTGAGGGAAACCTGTTTGACATCCAGAGATTTGAGACTGGGACCGAGGTTCACCTTCCAGCAGGACAATGATGCTAAGCATACTGCTAAAGCAACACTTGAGTGGTTTATGGGGAAACATTTAAATGTCTTGGAATGGCCTAGTCAAAGCCCAGACCTCAATTCAATTGAGAATCTGTGGTATGACTTAAAGATTGCTGTACACCAGCAGAACCCATCCAACTTGAAGGAGCTGGAGCAGTTTTGCCTTGAAGGATGGGCAAAAATCCCAGTGGCTAGATTTGCCAAGCTTATAGAGACATACCCCAAGAGACTTGCACCATTTTAATTCCAGGTTGTAAGGCAACAAAATAGGAAAAATGCCAAGGGGGGTGAATACTTTTGCAAGCCACTGTACTTGAAACAGTGCCTGAGGAAGTCCCACAGCATCATCAAGGACCCCACATGCCTCAGCCACAAGCTGTTCACTCCCTTACCGTTGGGCAGACGGTATTGGAGCATGAGGTCTGATACCAACAGGCTCATAGACAGTTTCTATCTACAAGCCATCAGACTGCTGAACTGGACTGACCACCTGCTCTGACTCTCCTCACCTTAGCACACACACACACCACAATGGCTGCTAGCAAACAATTATTTACTATTGCTAATACTGCACAATTTAAACACTTGCCCCCCAATCCCCCCTTACCCAGTACACATGTAAATATTGGACTATACATTTTGCCTTCCTGTATTATACTTACGTTCAAATGTTTTCTATTCTACTGAGCCATTTACTTTGTTTTGTATTATCCTTTATTATTTCTTACTGTTGTTGCATTGTCCAGAAGGAACCTGCAAGTAAGTGTTTCGTTAGACAGTGTATACCATGTGTATCCTGTACATACAGTGGGGGGGAAAATTATTTAGTCAGCCACCAATTGTGCAAGTTCTCCCACTTAAAAAGATGAGAGAGGCCTGTAATTTTCATCATAGGTACACGTCAACTATGACAGACAAATTGAGGAAAAATAAATCCAGAAAATCACATTGTAGGATTTTTAATGAATTTATTTGCAAATTATGGTGGAAAATAAGTATTTGGTCACCTACAAACAAGCAAGATTTCTGGCTCTCACAGACCTGTAACTTCTTTAAGAGGCTCCTCTGTCCTCCACTCGTTACCTGTATTAATGGCACCTGTTTGAACTTGTTATCAGTATAAAAGACACCTGTCCACAACCTCAAACAGTCACACTCCAAACTCCACTATGGCCAAGACCAAAGAGCTGTCAAAGGACACCAGAAACAAAACTGTAGACCTGCACCAGGCTGGGAAGACTGAATCTGCAATAGGTAAGCAGCTTGGTTTGAAGAAATCAACTGTGGGAGCAATTATTAGGAAATGGAAGACATACAAGACCACTGATAATCTCCCTCGATCTGGGGCTCCACGCAAGATCTCACCCCGTGGGGTCAAAATGATCACAAGAACGGTGAGCAAAAATCCCAGAACCACACGGGGGGACCTAGTGAATGACCTGCAGAAAGCTGGGACCAAAGTAACAAAGCCTACCATCAGTAACACACTATGCCGCCAGGGACTCAAATCCTGCAGTGCCAGACGTGTCCCCCTGCTTAAGCCAGTACATGTCCAGGCCCGTCTGAAGTTTGCTAGAGTGCATTTGGATGATCCAGAAGAGGATTGGGAGAATGTCATATGGTCAGATGAAACCAAAATAGAACTTTTTGGTAAAAACTCAACTCGTCGTTTTTGGAGGACAAAGAATGCTGAGTTGCATCCAAAGAACACCATACCTACTGTGAAGCATGGGGGTGGAAACATCATGCTTTGGGGCTGTTTTTCTGCAAAGGGACCAGGACGACTGATCCGTGTAAAGGAAAGAATGAATGGGGCCATGTATCGTGGGATTTTGAGTGAAAACCTCCTTCCATCAGCAAGGGCATTGAAGATGAAACGTGGCTGGGTCTTTCAGCATGACAATGATCCCAAACACACCGCCCGGGCAACGAAGGAGTGACTTCGTAAGAAGCATTTCAAGGTCCTGGAGTGGCCTAGCCAGTCTCCAGATCTCAACCCCATAGAAAATCTTTGGAGGGAGTTGAAAGTCCGTGTTGCCCAGCAACAGCCCCAAAACATCACTGCTCTAGAGGAGATCTGCATGGAGGAATGGGCCAAAATACCAGCAACAGTGTGTGAAAACCTTGTGAAGACTTACAGAAAACGTTTGACCTGTGTCATTGCCAAGAAAGGGTATATAAAAGTATTGAGAAACTTTTGAAATTGACCAAATACTTATTTTCCACCATAATTTGCAAATAAATTCATAAAAAATCCTACAATGTGATTTTCTGGATTTTTTTCTTCTCATTTAGTCTGTCATAGTTGACGTGTACCTATGATGAAAATTACAGGCCTCTCTCATCTTAAGTGGGAGAACTTGCACAATTGGTGGCTGACTAAATACTTTTTCCCCCCACTGTACGATTAATAAAACTTGAAACTAATGATGTTACTCCGCTATTATTCCACTCAAGCTGACCTTGAGATTACTCTTTTCCAGTATTTCGGAGCCAGTTGCCACGGAAGAACGACTTTTATCCCTACGATCCTCCATCTGATGAAGACCCCAATTGGACTGAGCGTGACCCCTGCGTCCACAGTTCAGGAGTTAAACTATGCAAGCTCTGTGGCTGTCCTGGTCAGAAAGCTTGCTCTAAATGCCATGCAGTGTCCTACTGCAGCAAAGAACACCAGACCATAGACTGGAAACACTGTCACAAGAAAGAGTGTTGCAAACAAGGTAATTATACTGTCATACTATTTGTAATAATGCTGAAATTGTGTTTTCCGCCCGCCTGAAAGATAAACATTAAACTTTCAATACATGTTCAGTGCCGTCCAGCGCAGTGCCTTCCCCATTCCTGTTCCCAGAGTCGGAACTGGTCACAGAGCCTGAGGAACATCAGAAAGAAGAATCAAGTGAAACAGTCGGGGACGCACAGAATAACGTGGAATGCTCCTCCTCAGTTGACGGTAAGAAGTTAGACTGCATTGCATTTACTTATCTAGTCCTTTCAGACCCATTAAGGCATCAAAAGGAGAGTGAAGAGAGAATCTTTTGGGATTTGACCCAGCCTAAATAGGAGTCTATAAATGATTACAATTTCTGTTGTATAAAAGCATGACTTCTATTCCACAGATTTGGCAGAGACAGAACTTGAAGACATGGCCATGCATGAAACCGAAGATAGCAAAGTGTTCCAGAAGTTTAAACAGAGGATTGCGTCAGAGCCACATCAGGTAACAACTCTTCAAGCAGAATCCTCAGACATGAAGAGCATCAGAATCACTCAAATACGTATTTGGCAATCGTGTAGATTACTCTGAAATTAATCTTTTTTTTTTACTCAACAATCTCTTGTGGACAAATGCACATAATTTAGGATGGTATCTTGCTTCTGTCAAGACTGGGATGCGAAGACTTATCAGGAACTTTGTTCCTGTGCGCATATTTTTTCCATCACTGATCATTTGGACAAATCACGATTTCAAAGGTGTTCACATCTTTCAAATTTCATAAGGGGAGGTGACATTTGGCCAATGCTTTGGCTGAGAGTTTCCATTTAGCAGGGTGGAGACTCTTTTCATACATCTCCCCCCAGAACCTAATCAAGCATCTGATGCAATTACACACAATTTTAATTGTGGGTTTCCCTGATTACTGAAGACTATAATAACATTGTGTTATTGTAGGTTTTGCGATACTGTAGAGGTGGCTCTCCTCTTTGGGTTTCGTCTGAACATGTTCCTGTGGAGAAGGACATCCCACATTGTTCATGTGGTTCCAGGCGTATCTTCGAATTTCAGGTATTTGCAATATTTAAACGAAGAGCCGGTTTCCTGGACCAAGGGGTGTATTCATTAGTCGCAGACTGTTGCAAAATCTTTACTCTAAACTGAAAACATTTTGAAACTAAACAGAGTTTCTATTGAACTAAATCAGGTAGGTTCCTCCGTTTCTTTCTGTTTGGATCCTAGAGGCAACGGTCTGCGACTAATGAATACACCCCATCGAGCCTATTCCTGGACTAAACCACACTTTCAGCTGAGATATTTCATCCAGGACTGAGCTTAATCTGGGTCCAGAAAACCAGACCTAAATGTTTCAACGTCTAAGGCTTGAATGACAATGTGCTGATAGTGTTTTGCATCCCAACAGGTCATGCCCCAGCTACTGAATGACCTAAAAGTGGACAGCCCTGATGCCAGTATAGACTGGGGAACCTTGGCTGTCTACACATGTGCTGACAGCTGTGACCAAGGCAACAAGTACTCTTCCGAATTCATCTGGAAACAAGATTTCACAGAACAGAAATCCGAATGTACCTAGTTATGGAAATGTTTAATTTAGTGGGCTTGGGCTACACTGTCCCTTTGTCTCAGTGGCTATTTCCTTTTCTAGAGGAAAAACTATGCATAAACAGCCACAATCTTTTAGATTTCCAATCGCTCATACATTGATTTGAGGAATAGGACTTGATTGTTACAAGGTACTTACTTTATCATAAGCAAAATACATGTCATTTGTTTTGTCATAGGACATAGCTTCAAATCCGGTTTAAAAACATTAATGGAATGTAATTTCTTGAAAATTAAACGCACTTTGCATGTTAAAATGTCATGTGATGCACCTTGGAATATTGCGCCATTGTTAGTGGGTCTATTCTTTAAACTGGTCATGCTTTCTCAAATCCATGTACGTACTAGTCATTCACTGGATGATTGAAGACTAGTTGTAAATCTTGCCATACCCTGAAGACAAAGATTTTTAAACTAAGGAGGGAGATCACAATTGGTAAGTAAATATTTAATTGTGCACAATGTAGCAAAAGAACACATTTAAAACCAGAACATAATTACTGACAGTGCTTTCGTGGGCTTACATGGTAGACCAAACATACAGTATGTGTAAACTACTGAAACAAAGGCTAGTTTGTCTATTCTAGCATTAAAACATGAGGGATCTTAAATCACACTTAAAGGACCAAAATAAGACATTGGAGGTACATACAGATATGACTAATAACAGTCCTAAGATTCAGACTAAGGTTGCATGATTCATGTTCAACCATTTTCTGGCCTTCAACACCAAAGAGTGATCAAAATGTCATCCAAACAATGTTCAAATAATGACAAAATTGGGAAGTTAAGCCTTGCTGCAATACAATCCCAAGTAACATTAAATCTGGAGATTCTTCATATAACAATGAAAGACTAAAAACCATTTAAAGAATAATGTTATGAATCTTGAATGTCTGTAGGGAATATGTGGACAAACATCCACTGAGAAACGTTAGGATAACAAAACCTACATTAGAAAAATTTAAGAGCCAGCCAGACTGCCTTATTTATTAACAAGCAAGAGTCATTTAAAAATAAATAAAACTGCTAAAATACAGCATTTCTCCTAGTATCACCATTAAAGGGATCACATTTATATACTCCCCCATAGTCAGATCTAAGTGTGGATACCATTTTTATGTCTCCGTGTCCAGTATGAAGGAAGTTAGAGGTAGTTTCGCGAGCCAATGCTAACTAGCGTTAGCGCAGTGACTGGAAGTCTATGGGTATCTGCTAGCATGCTAACGCTAGTTAGCATTGGCTCGCAAAAATAAACTTCATTTATACTGGACACCGATACATAAAAATGGTATCCACGAGTTCATCTGACTAAGTAGATAAATGGCCTCATTGCCAAAATCCCGAAGTATCCCTTTACGGTGAATAGGAGGGGTCCCTGACTTGATTAAACTGTACAGGTCCAATCAGTCCCAAAGTAACAGCTCACAACATAGGACAAGTTCCCATGTGACAATTAAAAATTAAAAAAAGATTGCAGGCATAAATATTTATGTTGTCTTCCTGAATCCTTTCAAGATGGGGTAGATGTTTTCAAATGCTTCATAAATTTCTCCTCTCACCTTTGCACCTTGAAAAAAGCAGCAACAATAGTACATACACAAGTTACATTTGACAAAAATTAAGGACAACAAATGCCCCTTCTCTATGTTATTAGGAAAATGAGAAAAACTCACCTGTTAATACAACTTTGCCTGAAACAAATATCAACAGGACAATTCTGGGTTTGATCATTCTGTAGATTAGCCCAGGGAACAACTCTGGTTCATAACTGAAAAATAACAAGAGAAATATTAGGCCTACTTCTAATCTTTGCTCCCAGTACTAAATCACTTTAGAATACCAATAGCAGTTTTATAAATAATGAACAAAATATGACAGAATTCCAAGTATGACAACGCATCTCCTCAGATATTACAGGCTTTCATTTTGCAGTAGTGAAATAGACAAACCTGCTGAACTGCTGGTGAGTTAGTACAAGTCCCTCTAACCGAATGGGGAATTTGACATCACAGCTGCCCACCATGTTCTGAATCTTGAAATCAAGGAATTTGGCTGGGAAGCCCAACTTCTGCACGACTCTGGCATATTTCCTGGCCGCCAGGCGGGACTGCTCTTCACTGGAGGGGAAGGAGGAAGTATGATAAGGCCTTTAAAACAGATGTTTTCATGTTTCCTGTTTTTGTTTTTTTTAAGAAGATGATACTAACCTTTTGGCTCCTGTGCACACCATTTTCCCAGAGCTGAAGATTAGTGCAGTTGTTCTTGGCTCTCGTATTCTCATGATTACAGCAGCAAATCGCTGTAAGACAAGAATAGTTAAAAAGTTGTGAATTTATTCAATAGAACAACAGTGTCTTGTTGGGACATTCTAGGACCCGAAGCAACATTGCCATTCTAGTTGGCATTTTACCGTGGTCCAATTTCACCTTTCCATGGGCCCTGACAATGATTTGGAAAAAGGTATGTACCAGCAGCGGTTATATAGGATGAGCTGTGTATTCTCGACATAGCTCATCCTATATACAGTGCATTCGGAAAGTATTTAGACCCCTTCACTTTTTCCACATTTTGTTACGTTACAGCCTTATTCTAAAATTGATTAAACATATTTATATTTTTTTCAATCTACACACAATACCCCAAAATGACAAAGCAAAAACAGGTTTAGACATTTTTGCAAATATGTTAAAGATAAAAATGGAAATATGACATTTACATAAATATTCAGACCCTTTACGCAGTACTTTGTTGAAGCACCTTTGGCAGCGACTACAGCCTCGAGTCTTCTTGGGTATGACGCTACAAGCTTGGCACACCTGTATTTGGGGAGTTTCTCCCATTTTTCTCTGCAGATCCTCTCAAGTTCTGTCAGGTTGGATGGGGAGGGTTGCTGCACAGCTATTTTCAGGTCTCTCCAAAGATGTTAGATCAGGTTCAAGTCCGGGCTCTGGCTGGGCCACTCAAGGACATTTAGAGACTTATCCCGAAGCCACTCCTGTGTTGTCTTGGCTGTGTGCTTAGGGTTGTTGTCCTGTTGGATGGTGAACCTTCGCCCCAGTCTGAGGTTCTGAGCGCTCTGGAGCAGGTTTTCATCAAGGATCTCTCTGTACTTTGCTCCGTTCATCTTTCCTTCTATCCTGACTAGTCTCCCAGTCCCTGCCGCTGAAAAACATCCCCAAAGCATGACACTGCCACCACGCTTCACCGTAGCGATGGTGCTAGGTTTCCTCCAGACGTGATGCTTGGCATTCAGGCCAAAGAGTTCAATCTTGGTTTCATCAGACCAGATAATCTTGTTTCTCATGGTCAGAGTCCTTTAGGTGCCTTTTGGCAAACTCCAAGCGGGCTGTCATGTACCTTTTACTGAGGAGTGGCTTCGTCTGGCCACTCCACCATAAAGGCCTGATTGGTGGAGTGCTGCAGAGATGGTTGTCCTTCTGGAAGGTTCTCCCATCGCCACAAAAGGACTCTGGAGCTCTGTCAGAGTGACCATCAGCTTCTTGGTCACCTCCCTGACCAAGGCCCTTCTCTCCCGATTGCTCAGTTTGGCCGGGCGGCCAGCTCTAGGAAGAGCCTTGGTGGTTCCAAACTTCTTCCATTCAAGAATAACCGAGGCCACTGTGTTCTTGGGGACCTTCAATGCTGCAGAAATGGTACCCTTCCCCAGATGTGTGCCTCGACACAATCCTGTCTCGGAGCTCTACGGACAATTCCTTCGACCTCATGGCTTGGTTTTTGCTCTGACATGCACTGTCAACTGTGGGACCTTATATAGACAGGTGTGTGCCTTTCCAAATCATGTCCAATCAATTGGATTTACCACAGGTTGACTCCAATCAAGTTATAGAAACATCTCAAGGGTTATCAATGGAAACAGGGTGCACCTGAGCTCAATTTCGAGTCTCATAGCAAAGGGTCTGAATACTTATAAATAAGGTATGTTTTTTTATTTGTAATACATTTGGCAAAAAATCTTAACACCTGTTTTCGCTTTGTCATTATGGGGTATAGTGTGTAGATTGAGGAAACAATGTAATCCATTTTAGAATAAGGCTGTAACGTAACAAAATGTGGAAAAAATGAAGGGGTCTGAATACTTTCCGAATGCATTGTAACTACATTTTACTAATTTAGCAGACACTTATCCAGAGCGACTTACAGGAGCAATTAGGGTTAAGTGCCTTGCTCAAGGGCACAGAGATTTTTCACCTAGTCGGCTCTGGGATTTGAACCAGCAACCTTTCGGTTACTGGCCCAATGCTCTTAACCACTAGGATACCTGACTACAGCTGTACATACCTTTTACATTGTCCATACGAACTATACACACAAACACACCACGTATTTATATTACAGACTGACATTGCTTGTTCTGATATTTCGTAATTTCTTGTTTCTTTATTCGAGGGGGCCGGTAGGATTATTTGTGTATTAGCATTGTACTGTTAGACACACACTGCACTGCTGGAGCTAGAAACAAGCATTTCGCTGCACCTGCTTTAACTCTTTATACTCGTACCCATATACGGGTTAAAAATGGCAGATTTGGGCACTGATAAACACCTAAATTGGAATGCAGTGGCTGTAGAGTAAAACGCTATCCATGATGTCAGAGCTCTGGCTCTGCACTTCACAGCGCTGTATGGGTTCAGAGCTTGAGCACCTCGCGCGACATGACGTTGCCCCCATCCCTCCCGCTAATTGGGCAACTATTGCACAAAAAAAAAGTCTGAGTGAGGTAAATGCTGTAAATTCAGGGACTATGTAGCTCAATTGGTAGAGCATGGCGCTTGTAACGCCAGGGTAGTGGGTTCGATCCCCGGGACCACCCATACGTAAAAATGTATGCACACATGACTAAGTCGATTTGGATAAAAGCATCTGCTAAATGGCATATTAATTAATATTAATGTATTTTAAAATATGAGATCGTGAGGATTATAATAAATACCGCTTTGATGTCATACAAGCATGCCAAACACCTGTGAGTCCAAATGTGCACTTCACATTTCCATATCATAAAAATCATGTCATATACAGTGTCAACGTTTATGATCACTATGTTTGATGTACAGTTACAAGATGGCATGGCGTCATACCCTGGGTTGTTCTGAACAGAATGAGCCTGTCTATTGTGAAGAACATTCCCCGCGGCACACGCACCTGAATGCATGACTCCTTTCTATGCGCACCAAAATTATGATCAGTTTCCCTGAATTGCCTTGTGAAAGCCTAACACTGTAGTATGGTATTTTATAACTTATCTAGTCATGTTGGCAATAGAACAGGCTTTCAAATGATGCCCACCTGACCCAGATTGTGATTTATAATGGACCGTTTTTTTATTGCATAAACAACAACAGTAATTGTGTAATGGTGGGGATGCAGGGCTGTGTTCAAAACAACTACAAGTGTGCTTGCTCTAGTTCCTCAACGGCACAGCTAGGAGAGCTAAAAAAAAAGCATCTTATAGTTGAAGACGCTTCTTTGAGTCATAAAAGTGCATAGAAATGACTTAGGAACTGAGGACACTTTGGAGAGGTGTGTGGCCACTTGGAGACACCAGTTAGTCCTCTCATTCAAACCCTTGTCATTTTTTGGTCTTATGTTGCACCTACCCAACATTTTCCAGGAATATTCTTATCAGTTAATGAATGTATCCATAGTATTTTCAGATTTCCGTTATCAACAAATTAGGCAAAAATTACAGTAAATGTAAAATGCACATTAAATCAACAGTGTAATGTTTGGATTCAGTCTTCTGTCAGGTGAACTGTTGTGTCCTCACCTTTAGTCTAATAATTTTCCCATAACCTCGAAACTGTTCCCTCTCCATTGCTACCATAGTCAATTCACACGAGTGTTAAGGGTTAACATCTGTTAATCTGGGTATGCAACATAAATTCATTTTGATTTGCAAATGAAAAATAACAATATGCTTACCTTAGGATTGTACTCAGCATTTCTAGCTCGCAGTGCTATTGTTTTCAAGTCAAGTTTGCAGCCCAAGTTTACAGTGGATACAATGTTCCTAAAGAGGGAAGGAAATAAACCATACCATCAGGATGAGAGATTCTCCTTGCTGATATGGTCAGATCACTATTCAAACCATCACTATGGTCAGATCACTATTCAAACCATCACTATGGTCAGATCACTATTCAAACCATCACTATGGTCACATCACTACTCAAACCATCACTATGATCACATCACTACTCAAACCATCACTATGCTCACATCCCTACTCAAACCATCACTATGCTCACATCCCTACTCAAACCATCACTATGGTCACATGACTATTCAAACCATCACTATGGTCACATCACTATTCAAACCATCACTATGATCACATCACTATTCAAACCATCACTATGATCACTATTCAAAGCATCACTATGGTCACATCACTATTCAAACCATCACTATCCAAAGCATCACTATGATCACTATTCAAACCATCACTATGGTCACATCACTATTCAAACCATCATGATGATCACTATTCAAACCATCACTATGGTCACATCACTATTCAACTTACCTACATAGTGGTTGACACTAACAAATTATTCAAGAACACTTACTGTAGCTGTGGGACAATCCCAGAGCTCTCAGAGGCAGGTGTTGCAGGTGTGATGGGTGTCATGGGGGTTAGTGGCGTAGTGGTGTAGAGAGGGGTGTTTCCCGGCAGTGTGGTGGTAGTGACCGTTTGTGAGTGATAAAGTTGTGGTGTCTGTCCCGAGCCCCCTGACACCCCACCCTGCTGGGCCGAAGCCTGCTGTTGCCGATGCTGCTCCTCCAGGAGAGACAGGCTGTTGGTGTTTGTCACAGGTTGGGGAGTCAGACCACTGCCATAGGGCATCATGGGGCTGAAGATGGGCGTTCCAGGCGTCATCGCCCCCTTTAAAAGATGGAATAACAATCCCTCAATTAGGATAGTTGAATCTAAACATTTGAGCAATGCTGTTTCTGTGTTGCCTACAAAAACTTCTCACTCAAATTTATTAGAAGTCAAATGAGTTACCTGCGGGGAGGCAAGACCCTGGAAAGGAGGCAAACTGTTGTTCTGCTCCATGTCCTCAAATTATGAAGCGGACAGTTGGTTCACTGTCTCAAAAGGAAATAAATTCTGAGACCTATGAGCAATTCTGTTTTTGAAAAATTCGACCACAGTCGTGTTGGAACAACAGAGGGTAGCAGCGAACCCCTAAGCTAGCTTCTTTTGACCTGCAAGAAGACAACAATCACAATTGATACCAAGTAACACTACTGTCAAGAAACTTGATCAATGACTGAACTAGACCACATTATGCAGCAGTAGCTAGCAAAAAACTATTGCTAATTAACAAGCCTTTGCAGCCAGTCAGCTAGCTAGCTAGTTTCCGCCAGTGATAGCGGCGCACGAACTCTCTTAACATAGCTAGCACTTTAACGTTACACATTGGAATTAAATCCAATGTTGCAATGTATGCAGTTGTATATGTAACGCATGCAACTTCGTGTGCGCGTAAAAATCAGTTTGGCGCAAAAATCGCACCTGACTTGATGATTGGCAGAGCTGGCCAGGCTAATGTTAGCGTAGTATCAACGTTAGCTAGCTTTCTACTTCCATGTCAACACTCTTGTGGTCATTAGTGTTTTGCTCACTAAGTGATGAAGTTGTGAGCTGTTGAGATGGGACAAATATTTCAAATACTCACCACGTCTCTAACTTTACTTAAAATGTCACATTAAAACGCTTTGGATAGCCGCTGCTTTCACTGGTTCATGCACTCACTCGCTCAAAACAGTGACATCCGGTATGATACATCCGGTATGATACATCCGGTGTCAAAGTTCACAAAAATTCACATAATATTCTTGATTATTTTATCTGGCAGGAGCAAAGGCAAAAGTTATCCAAAATTAAAAACAGAAAGTACTGTTCAAGAAAAAAGGGTTGGTATTATGCATTTTCTTTAGAGATGTCTTTAGTGATTTTCTTTGGTTCAATCCCTGCAGTTCAGAAGTTTCCCTTCAACCATTACATTGGTGGTAGCAGAAGGATAATCCCTGGTTTCTGGCCTTTGTCGGAAGCGTTACCCCTGGTTGCATAGGGGTTTGTGTGAACTGTGAAGTGTGCCTCTTTGAGAGGAGTTATGACTCCAGAATACTACCTTACTACAACCAAAAGGTCAGGGCCTGGTTTCCCAAAAGCTCCTTAAGGCCTTCGTAGGAGCATCGTTAAATCTCCGAGCTTTTTCCCAAAACCATCGTTATTAACGTTGCACGTGAAAACGCTCGTGATCTAACGCTTGCCTCAGACCACTCGTCGCACTTTATATACAGAAGATATCCGCTAAACATATAATCACATGGTTTATCCGCCCCTGATACCACGATAACTTCAGAACAAAGTCGACTACAAATAAAGTTGCCAATGTCTTTGCAAATGATACAAACCATCGACGTATAAAAAATGCTTCAAATTAAAACCGAGATGACTGCAATAAAATGTAAATACATTTCATGTTCAATCAATTGAGTTATATTTTGCTACGTGTAGGGTATCTGTTGGCTAATTTGTCTATATTTCATGATGTGTAGCCTAACATGTGCGCAATGATGTGCCAAATCTTGATTTAGTGCATTATTATAGGGTAAGCATTAGAATAAGCCGCCTCGGTAATTGCAGCCATAGGTTGTCTTTTTAGGAGCTGATCCGTCCTCAGTATTGTGGAATAATTCTAATGCTATGGTATGATTTGAATGGAGAAAGCTGATCCAAAAGCAGCATTGTCTTTCGAGCCTATCAGTATCGACACGTGCCTCAACGACGCGACGCACTTAGCGAACGTTCGTTCTGTTCGTTCTCTCTGCTTGGTCTTTTAGGAAATGTATGTTGTGCTGCGTTCTCATGCTAGTCTGAACTAGGAAACTCGGAAATGTCATATTTGCTGATTCACTGAAGGCGTCACGTGTATAACTACAACCAGTTAGCAAGTCTGAAATGTCAGTTTCCTAGTCAGAGACTAGCACTTGAATACGGCATTACAGCTTCGGCGTGTGTAGGAAAGATAAAATCTTTAAAACGCTCATAAATCTAAATTCCATCGCAATCGGAAACCGCCCCCTGGTCAGTTATGGCACAGGTGGTAGTATATCCAGTTCCAGCTGTCCAAACTCAATCTCTTAACACCCCTATTTGGCTAAAAGTATTTTTGCCAGCCTTAACCAATTCTCGTCTAAGGAGACACTTCCAATCTCAGGACCGATGGCATATATGTTGAGCAAGATTTTTCTTTATACATTTGAATACTGTTCAGACTCCATTGTAATCAAATACATTTTCAAACATTTCATGTCATATATACAATTTTAAAAAGGACACTGACAACATGAGAAAATGAACTACAGGGAACATTTTTTATTCTTCAGCAAGAATGTAAAAAGAAAAGCAGGAGATTGGTCCAAAATATGAAAAATCCAGACAAAAGCGGTAGCTTGACACGGCGGCGGGGAATAGGTTGTTCAATCCTTCCTGAGAGGGACTGTCTCTTCTTTGATACCCTCCTTGGTGACGATGCAGATCCTGAGGGCGTCCCCGGTGTACACGTCTCTCTCAGCAGCGGAGATGAAGACATCTTTGACCAGCTGCACAGCCTTCTCCTGGCTCAGGGGCAGGTGCTGCACACCCTCCATGTTCTTGAATCCAATCTGATTGTAAATTAAGAATAAAGACGATAAGGGGAAATACAGTAACAAGGAGATGGTTTGTCCCGAATCAAAGATATCTAGGTCACTAGAATGTCTAGGGTTTCCTTGCCACAGCTAAATTCTACATACACATTTGGCATACAAAAATTCCAGTCATATTGTGCTGTCGAATTAGACAGAGGTGCTTTGAGTTGAACAAAGCCCTCAAAAGATAATAGTGATGCTGAACTTATACCACTTTTTGGTTTCTTTACCTGGTTGTCAAGCAGAGGTTGCAGCATGGCACTCGCTGAGCCTCCAGCTTTGTATGTGTCTCTCTGATAGGATCCCACTGGGTCAAAACTGTAAACAGCTCCTTTACCTGAAAAGCAAAAACAATCCAGTTCAGTTTGGAACGTCATAAATAGTGGACTAGACTTAACATATGCAGTGAATACCTTACACATATGGAAACTGAACCAAGCATCTGATAACAGTAATAACAGAAATAGAGCAGGAGATATACCTTCCTCATCCAAGCCACCGATGATGTTGTAAACGTAGTAGGGGAAGAATCTTCTACCATACAGGATTGTTGACAGCATGGCTGCGATTGCTCCACTTGTCATGCTCTTGTTGTTGGAGTGCTTGTACATCTAAAAAATAAAATTTCCCATCAGACATTGGCTGATGTTAGAAAATTATACATTTACAAATGCTAATTTATTGTGTACGGCCGTATGCCATAACTTTCAGCTGAACTAACAATTTTGTTATTATTATTATTAATTTTGAAAGTAAAAATGATGAAAGAAAGTGAAACAGTCTCAAGACGATCTCACCTTTAATCTTGCATCAATGATTTTGGTAAGAGTCAAGCAATCCCCATGGAATCCACTGCAGCCTATGACAGTTGTATTTGTCCTGTGAGAAATGAAACAAAATGTATTAGTTACAGCACCGTAACTTAGTGGTCAAATATTGATGAACATCTAATGTATTATGATGTTCACAAGCGTAATCCATTTTCATTCACCACCATTTCAACTTATTTAGTTTGACCAAGACTGCATTTAGATTTATCATCTATCATGTCATTAGATAAAAATAATTGACAAGTCACTTTGGCTGAGCTTAGACAGGCAGCCCAATTATGAAAATGTTTTCCAACAACTGTTTTTTTGACCAATCATGCCCAATTAGTGAAAAAAAAATATCAGAATTGGGCTGCCTGTCTAAACACAGCAATAGGGAGGCAGTTAATGGGGTTAAACCACACCATGTGACAATCTGCCTTCGCTCATCCTTGGGAATACAGTTGTGTGGACTGGACTTGGCTTACCTGGTTAAATAAAGGTGAAATAAAAAAAATAAAAAAAATAAAAAAAACTTACAATTTGTAGCATTTTGGAGAATCACGGCTGTGGATTGAATAGCCTTCACTCAGACGGGTGTCTGAGGCCACAATGGCAAAGTCTTCACCGGCAACAGCAAGCACAGTCCTGGAAACAAACAAAAAAGTCAAGTGTAAGTTGACATGATGGCCTAACAAACAAGTTGGTTAGTTTTGGCAAAACCTACTGTAACTAACTGAAATCGAAACCAGCTAAACAACATGTAGTTAAGTCTTGTTTTTCACGTAGTTAACTACGAAAATATTATCTTGATTAAGTGTTAGCTATTTACACCATGACACATTCTTAGTCAGACACTATATCAGTCACTGTACATTCTGCAGAACAAAATGATGCACAGCATTAGCTAGGTAGCTAGCTAACGTTACTGTAGCTTGCTAACATTTGGGCTACCTAAACTAACGTTAGTTGGATATTGACGCTTACCCTCCGTTGAAGGAATATGGAGAGAATCGGTGCTCTACTGGTCCAGTATAGTGATACTCCTTCATTTTCCCATTATCTCCATAAACTTGTGTATTAAACATTATGCCGGTTGACAAGGAAACTCAATAAACTCTTCAGCTTGCTAAAGACAAATGGGAAATCTCGCTGTATCACTGCAATATGGCGGACGGATATGGTTCTTCTTCTTCAACAACCTACAAAACAAAAAGTTGTCTTTCCTACCACCCACTGGCTGGAGTCATGGAGGGAGTTCGAAAAAGCGGTGAGGGAGGAGCGCCACTCTCAAATCGAATCTGCGCAGCTCAGCCATGTTATCAACAAATCAGCAAAAACAACAATGTTAATAAACAATTTTCAAAAAAAAAATCATTGGGAAGGCAGATAAAGCATTTTTAAATAAAAAACGAATCACTTTAGCATATGAAAATACCGAATCCTACTAATTACGTCACTTTTGTCTTGAGCCGACTTCGCCGTCGGCCAGAAAGGGGCACCTGGCTCACGCCCGGGAGGCATCCCGGTTTCAAAACGAATACACAAGTGGGTGTATGGAAATCGAACAGCTAATTGTGCAAATTTGTTACCACTCAAGACCGTTTTGCGTGGCTGCTGGGGTGTATTCATTACGTCTTACAACGGAAACCGTTTAAGAACCAAACGGAAGCAAACAGCGCAAACGGGAACGAAACTGAGAGGGACATACCAGAATTTGGCCAATAGAAAGTCGTTTTCATTGCGAAACGTTTTCTGTTTGGAGTAAAAGTTTTGCAACAGAATTGGCGTAATGAATACAGCCCTGATGTGTCTCTGTTTCAGTGTGTCTTCGACCGCAGAGATGAGGGTAAGCCATTTCATTTAGGCTAACATTTTGCGATTCACTTTGAGCTTCGCCTTTTGTGTAGCTACCGGTGTCTACGTTTTTCGTAGATGTATATACTAGCTTTTTATTACTGTATAACGATAACGTGGCGATCTACCAAGCTAGCTAGACTTTTACCTTAGCTAGCTAGCTAGCTAGGTAAGTTAGCCTGGGGACCAGACAAGGAGTTTGGGCTATTCCAAGCTTTGGGACACTACATCTGGAGTCTGTGTATTCAGCCTGGTCTCATATACTAGACGTAACATAATAAATACATATGGAAGCCTCAAATTTGTACGATATGTTACGTTTGGTATGTATGGTTCAGTGTTTAATTGTAAATCGGGAGGTGCTGGAACAAAAAGTGTACATGAGAGGGGGGTGACCTGGGGAGCTCTGCAGTACCAGGAGCGCATTACTTATTTTTTCCTCACCTTTATAATAAAGCATTGCATGCATTTCATTGCATTTGCGTAGTGGCATAGAGCAGTAGAGTAGAGGCAATTACAGAAGTTGCACACATGGGGAACATTTTAGTAGCCTAAGGGTCAGGGGAAAATGTGACTTTTATAAATGCATTTCATGCAATTCTATGTCATTTTACATGACTGGAGACTTTGGCAGATACTTTTTTAATACTGTAAATGATCGAAATGACAGACTACTTTGACACTGACAAACTGAAAATCTGAGATCAATAAAAACAACCTTGTGTTGAATCCAGCAATAGCCTAGGCCTAAGTGTGTGGAGACATATATTGTAGGCTACAATATGAGGAGGAAATTATAGTCCTAAAAATGGTTTCCAGTTTCACAGACTCACCCAATGATGTGCAGTTCACTCACCGGTGATGGCCGATGCGTTTGTGCCAAAAGCCTATATCTCTCTTTTTACTTTGTAAAACAATATTTGGAAGTTGATCAAATATTTTGTTAGCCTACAGCAGACAGATTGGTATTTTCAGCTCGAGCCATTTACTTTCTAACCTGTGTTTTCCCTCGATTGTATTTGAAATATTGCGTAAGGCCTGTTTTGTCTGCGTGCTGTTTGTTCACTGACAGATGTGCCATGCATTCCCGACTGTAGGCTATTCCTTGTTATTGCCTTACAATCCACAGCTAGGTTATTTTTTTAAATAAGCTGTTGATCCTCTGTGGCTAAATTGTAGGCATTTTCATTGTGTAGTAGGCTATTCTGAATTATTTCATTTATTTCTGAACAGACAGCAGTAATTCTATAACTTTGGCAAATGTAGTTCAATTTATCATGGGTGCTGCAGCACCTCCAGCACCCTTCCCACGGCTATGATTCTATAAGGACATAAATGATGAAGTGAAACGCTGGAGAGATGAGTTGCAGGCTCATGTCTAACACTGCAGAGAGAGGGAGAGAGATCATAGAAAGTGAATCTCATTCTAGTTCTGTGAGAGATACAGGCCCGCTTCTCTCTCTCTCACCACAGTGATGGCCATGCGTTGGTCTATATTGGCTACAATGTGGCGCAAATGTTTTAACGAAGAGGCAACTCGAATGAACTTTGATTGCTTTTATTATAATTTTTACATAGTAAAAAGTGACAATTAGTTTTCATGCCACGAGAGGTACCGGATCCGGCCAAATAGGTTCCGGAACGAAACAGTCCCAAACGGAGAGGATCCGGCTCAAATTAAGCACTGGTATGGTTACATATGACAGAAAGTTACTTAAGGCAAAAACGAAAGGAGGGGGTGGTTGGTCGGGGTGGGCATAAACGCAAACGTCTAGCAACCCAAAGGTTGCATGTTCGAACCTCATCACAGACAACTTTAGCATTTTAACTAAATAGCAACTTTTCAACTATTTGCTACTTTGCGACGACTTAAACATTTTCAGTGAAAACTGTTAAAAGTAGTTATTGTGCATAGCATGGAGTTGTATGGTTTGTTGAACTTTGCAATCATTGGTATTTCTTTTGTTACTACCGTGGAATTACCCATTTCTAAATACCCCATCTGGAACATGAGTGTTTGACAATTGTAGAGGACCTGAGAGGACCATTTCCAGAATCAAACACTGTCATGTTCCAGACGGTGTATTTAGAAATTCACTGTCTGGTCCCCAACCAGAATTTCTGGAAAACCAGGGAATTTATTGAAAGTTCCCAGGAATTTTGCAACCCTAGTCGTAACACGGTAAAGTTCAGGCCAGAAGGGGTCAGTTTTCCAGCTTTTCTCAAATACTATTTGTCCATTACCATGTCAATCAAAGCATGAAAAGAAACGTAGACAATTCCCCGGATGTTGATGCTAACACATTAGCTGTAGGCACCCGCAGCTCCCCCGGGACTGCCACGCAGAGCGCAGAAGAAATATCAGCCCATGGAGAGAAGCACGAGATTGAACATCACTCAACTTTCTAGAGTTTTCCCTGTTAGTTAACACTTTCAATATTTCCCTTTACTTTGGCAATTGTGATCGAATCAACACAATATTAGCCACTTTCAATGCAACATACCGAAACAAAACAAACTATGCAAGAGATTTTGTTTTAGGCTCAGCCGGTACTCTACACAGACTGGTGCGGCATAACCAATCAGAGCTGCAGTAGGCCTATATGCAAATAAACCATTGCCATATATGGATCTGTGACATTTACTTTGAACTGGACTGTGTTTGGGTCATTGACATGATGTGCATATTTTGGTGTCCGAATGAAATACTTTCCAAAATCAACAACCAATTTATACACATTTTATGTTATGTAACTATGCCCTTTCTCTTTTATTGAGTCCTAAAAGAGTTAATGGTTAAATGTGAGAAAAAAAACTGTCACCTTCGGTGCTCTAAAGTTAAAAAAAGTCATACTGTCCGAAGACAAATGCGATCTATATAAATGTTAATAAAACATCTCAAATCATAACAAAACTGTAAAATGATTATTCTTGCATGTTTTTTTTAAGGGTCTATTGCACTATACGTCTGTATGGGTAAGACATTTTAGGCAGAAAGGTTTTAAATACTTTTGTCCGGAAAAATAGCCTTAATGATTATCATTCGGTACTCATGTGACAGGATGTGACATCATTAAGATGCCTGTGAGATACCCTTTGGTTAAAAATAAAGGTTAGCAAGTATCTCATAAATCTTTGATAAGTTTACATTTCCACTACTAAAAACCAATTAAAATGTTGAATTATCTGTAAAGCTTATTTTATTTCGATACTCAAGATACATACTTGATGTCAAAGTCAAGTGTTCACATGGGTGCATAAGCAGTTGCCTCTAAAACATGTTTATGTGAGAAAGGTAATATGGTGTAAGCAAAATGATCATTCGGAGTCACCAGAAATTCCAGTTACACCATATGACTAAACGGTTGTACTGAATGTCAATATGTTTGTCTTTGTATATTTTTTTGGTACACACAAATACATAATATTATCTCCTTTTCAAGTAAAAACACACGTTTTTGTCGGATAAGGGTATTTTATGTCAGTTTTTTTAGTTTTATAGTATAGCACATCAAGCAGCTAAAACTGAAAATAAGTTTATGTAAATAACTACTATCCTATATCTATCTATCTATCTATCTATCTATCTATCTATCTATCTATCTATCTATCTATCTATCTATCTATCTATCTATCTATCTATCTATCTATCTATCTATCTATCTATCTATCTATCTATCTATCTATCTATCTATCTATCTATCTATCTATCTATCTATCTATCTATCTATCTATCTATCTTAATTGAGAGTCAATTTGCAGATGCCTTTATCAAGCAAATGCTTTATCGTCAAGACACAGATTACTGCTGACTCAGTTGCAAATTTGCCACAGAATTACAGGCGTTCCACTTTGGGGGGAGTAGACAGCAGGCTACGATCCATACAAGTGTTGTGTACACATCAGAGGGAAGCCAGTCCTACGCCAACATATCTGACTCCCTTAGACATGATGAGAGAGCAGTATGGGCTCACCTGGAGCCTGTCCTAAGAGATGTCAAGAATAAGAATCCACAAATCATGACACTCCACATGATGAGCGACGGTCCCGTCAACCAATACAGAAACAAGAAGAACATGTACCTACTCAACACTGCCATTTATTTACGGATTCAAACAAATCACCTGGAACTTTTCTGAAAAGGCCTACGGGAAGGGGGCATCAGATAGCGTGGGTGGGGCTATGAAACGTTGTACAGACAAACACATTCAACGTGGGGAGGGTGTACAGACTCCCAAGGAGCTCTTCGAACTACTTGAAGATAAGGCTGAACGATTTTGGAAAATAATCTAATTGCGATTTTTTGCCCCCAATATTGCGATTGCGATTTAATATGCGATTTAATTTATTTATCCTTTTTCCCCTACAAAACATAATGAATGATTTAAATATGACCAACACAATAGTATATACATTTAGTGTGAAATGTTCTTTCCCATAGGCTGGGTCTATTTGTTAGAATTAAATTCAAACATGTATGACTTGAAATAAATGACATTTTTATTGAACTGCTCATTACAGAAACATCTGTGGCTTTGCCACTGTGCATTTAAATAATTTAAACAAAGGCATGAACTTTGTAAACACTGTGTGCAAAAGGTACAGTCTTAAGAAAAAAATAATTTTAAATTGTATGTATCTTACTGCTCCCAAGTCAGTAACATTTCACACAACTGAAACAAGGAATTTGCTTTGAAAATATTTTGTAAAATCAAAGTAAATAAAGTTATAAATAAAAAATGAGAAATGCACTTTTAATTTAGACAAACTATTTTTTATAAACGATTTGAATATTATAATATAAAATAGATGAGCCTCACTTATCTCAAGTACACAACAATAACACACCACACAGACTAAAGTTCACTACGAGTATGGCACTGCCAGCCATACTTATCCAACAGTTCTGTTCTCAGTGGCTCACAGGTTTTTTGCTAAGAAAACCAGAATATTGACTTTTTCTGGCTTCAAGGCTGAGCGAGTGCAAGTCACAATATTCCCTCCTGTGCTAAAAAGACGCTCTGAGGGAGCGCTTGTAGCAGGTACACAAAGATACTTGCGTGCCATGGTGCACAACTGTGGGTAGCTGATCTTGTGCACCCTCCACCAAGCCAATGGATCATCTTCTCCATCAATGGTAGGAGTCATCAGGTAATTGTTTATCTCTGCCTCTGCGACATCTTCAAGATTTACAGGCAAAGAAGGAGAGGCTGAACTGGTCTTGAAAAAAACTGCCAAGAGACCTCTTCGTCTTTTCCCCCAAGGACTGTGCACTTTGAGGCATCTGAACAGTTTCAGTACGAGACCTCTTCTCCTATTAGATGAAAACAACAGCCATTAGTTTTCCAGTTCGATTTTACAGAAAATTTTTGTTTTTGTGAAATACATAATTATTTACCCAATGATATGTACGTTGTGCCAAGTCTACTATCTCTGTCTTCAGACGAGTCTTGATAGCAGGGATGTTGTCTGTACTGATGTACTGTATTTTGAACCTAGGGTCCAGGAAACAGGCAACATCCAAAAGCTCCTGGATGTTTGGGTCTCCATATTTGTTATTGAGGTATGCTAGGACTTTGGTTTTTATTGATTTAGTCAGGTCAGTGTCCTCAGCATCTTCAGCCAGGACTGATGTGGCAAAAAGGTGGAGAACTGGCTTGAGGTAGGAGATGCTTACATACTCCTCTCCAGAAAGAGCATCAGTAAACTCCAGTAGAGGATGCAGTGCCTTGTGAATCGACTCCAACACGTCAATATCCTGCCAGGTTGGGATAAGGGAGCGTGCATATCGATCTCCAGACAATACCTGAGAAATGGCTTTGGCCTGTTCAAGCACTCTGGCAATCATCATTTCTTTAGAACCCCATCTTGTTGGGCACTCCGTTATGAGGTTGTGCTCAGGGAGTTTGAGCTCTCTCTGTGCCTCCGTCAGGGCTGCTTTCTTCTTCCAACTGTGGGAAAAGTGCCCCACCAGCTTCCTGCACAGTGCTGTTGCCCTTGACACTCTGTCATCTTTGAGTGCATTTTCTAAAAGAAATAAAAAGTAGTGTATTACACACAATTTGAGTTTTGATACAAGGCTCTCACTATTACACACTCAAATTAGCTGTAATTCTGAAATACACACATCCACAACACATCCTCTCTCTCTCTCTCAATTCAAAGGGTCTTTATTTGCATGTCAATTCTCTCTCTCTTTCTCTCTCTCTCTCTCTCATAAACACTAAAAAAACATGTAAAAAACAAAAACAAGAAAAGAAAAAAAATGCAGGTGGGCATTCCACCACAGACAGACATATGATATAAGCAAGTAAAATGAATTTACATATTAGAAAAGGAGTGGAAGTATGAATTTATTTAATCCCATCCGATTTATATAATATCATTTATATATATTTGTATATTCAGCTTTACTAATCGACGCATCTCTCTCTCTCGCACTCGCGCACACACACACACACAAACACACACACACACACACACACACACACACACACACACACACACACACGATAACTTACCAATGGCAAGATGTAATCTGTGGCCAAAACATTGGAGCCTCGTCCATTCATTAAGCCGCGCAGCAAGCACCATATTCGACGCGTTGTCCGTCGTGATGCAGACGTGATTCTCCTCGTGGAGATCCCAGCTGACAAGCCCTTCTCTCAGGCCGGCTGCAATATTTTCCCCTGTGTGATCGTCTGGGAAGTAGGTAGTTTGTAGGCAGCGAGCTCGGAGGTTGAAATCTTCATCAATAAAATGGACTGTAAGACTCTGGTACGGCTCAGCTGTGCGGCTTGACCACATATCAGTAGTGCTAGCAAAAAACTCCACCGTTTTAAGTTCCGCGGCGACTTTCTCTTTGCACTTTTTGTACAGCTCCGGTATGGCAGTCTGACTGAAGTATGTGCGGGAGGGTATACTGTAACGTTTATCAAGCGTATGTATTAATGCCATGAACCCAGGCTTGGTCACCGTGCTGAGAGGCATCATATCTTTGGCTATGAACTCGGTTATTGTCCGAGTGATTTCTCCGTGCCGTTTTGAATTACGTTCATACGGAGTGACACTTTCGAACATTTCTGTCAGTGATCCCTGTCTTGAGGTATTTGGCTTGTCTCGCGCACTGATGCTCGGCATTTTGGTCATACAACTGTCATGCATTGATTTGTGGTATTTTTTTAAGTGCTGAAACAGGTTTGTAGTGTTACCCCGTGAAGTAGCAATCGGAGCACGGCATGCTCTGCACAACACCTGACGCTGCTCAGCATCTTCTTTTTTAAAACCAAAATAGTTCCACACCACCGACGTGCTGTTCCTCTTCGATATTAAAGTATCAGCTGTGTCAGTTTCTGACTGTTCCGTCGAGCAAGAGGCCATTGCGCTGGACAGCATGAAAAGTCGCGTCACGTGACCACCTCAAATCGCGCACGTTGCGATTAGAAAATCGCGTTCAGTCAAATCGCGATATTATCGCGAATGCAATTAATCGTTCAGCCCTACTTGAAGAGTGGATTGAGCATCAAGTTCTTTTGGATTATACATTTACATTTACGTCATTTAGCAGACGCTCTTATCCAGAGCGACTTACAGTTAGTGAATACATTTTTTTTTTTTTATACTGGCCCCCCGTGGGAATCGAACCCACAACCCTGGCGTTGCAAACGCCATGCTCTATCAACTGAGCTACATCCCTGCCGGCCATTCCCTCCCCTACCCTGGACGACGCTGGGCCAATTGTGCGCCGCCCATGAGTCTCCCGGTCGCGGCCGGCTGCGACAGAGCCTGGATTCGAACCAGGATCTCTAGTGGCACAGTTAGCACTGCGATGCGGCGCCTTAGACCACTGCGCCACTCAGGAGGCTAGATGTCACTAAGTACGATGAAGCTGTGCCAAACAACCTTGCTGGAGTCAAAGGAACCATGAAATTGCACCAGGTCACCTCCACAGTGGAAGGGAAAATAAAACACCATGAAGTGTCTTGCTTCTGCAGCAGACCAAGCATCTGCAACACCTGTTTCAGTGCTGTGCCATCAGGACAACACCATCACTGAGGAACAGCAAGATGAAGCTGCAGCTGTGTCCAAGTCAGCACTTGCTGAAAGTCTAGGCAGTTTTGTCATTGTCAGCTACGAAGATTGCCCCTTTGTGGGCCAGGTGCTGAAGGTGGTTGGGGAGAAAGTGCAGATCACTTGTATGCAGCAGCATGGAGTGAGGAATGTTTTTGTCTGGCCCTCTGTGCTAAACATTACCTTCTACTATGAAGGAGATGTAGCTCAGTTGATAGAGCATGGTGTTTGCAACGCCAGGGTTGTGGGTTCGATTCCCACAAGGGGTATGAAAAAAATTAAATAATGTAAGTCGCTCTGGATAAGAGCGTCTGCTAAATGACGTAAAATGTAAATGTAAAAAGTCAATGATCATTGAGCCCGAGCCGTTGAGCTCAAGAGCATCTGGGCTGTCCGACACAGACTGGGATGCTTTCCTGTCACACTAGTGCAACAACATCAAAAACACTGTTTTAAGAATGCAAGTTTGATTATTGTCAACTTAAATGAGTTTGTGATACAACTTGTGATAATTTCTTTGTTTCTTGAAATTGTAATGTAATGTAGAAAAACTGTTTAATGCATTTTATATTTTTATGTTTGAATGTTGAATTATTGTTAAATAAATTCATCATAATGCATCATTTTAATCCTGTTTTTAGAAGTCCATTGTCATGTTCATGATGAAATGTTTCTGCGTGATTATCATTTGAGTCACATTTTTTGTATTTTATTAAGCATTAAAGGCTTCATTGTTGTTGAATAGGAAGCCATGTTTACTCTTATTGTGTGTGTGTTTGATTAAGATGGAAACAGAGAGAGAGATCTGCCTAAAGAATTACACCATAACAAAATAGTAATGCGGTGCGACTAGCAATGATCATTTGGTACAACCAGTGTTTTTAATGTTAAAAAACAATTATATTATGTTATTGTCTCAAACATGCAGAGAGAAGCTCAGTCTATAAGAGAAAATGCATTTCTGTAAAATGTTATATGGTTTTCATTTAACAGAAGTTGTAGTTGACAGTCATTCAAAATGAGGGTTCCTCCAGTGAAAATATATGTATTATACTGTAACTTATAACTTCTTTAATGTTGAATATTTGAGACCATGCATATATTCATATTTTACTCTTCTTTGCTTGAAATAATGGTCCGAAAACCTTTTTTAAATTTGTATTCATGGTTGCACCGAATGACTTTCTTTAGGAGGTCAATTTAACAATCGCATAAAAAAACAAATTTTTAACAATTATTTTTTGCGACAAACCCTGAAAGTGCATAGGTAACACTCAAGGGAACATAACAAGTATTTAAAATTAAATTGTTTTCCCTTTTCACTTTTTTTTCACTTTTTAAAACCTTATACGTCATTGACCCGTTTTAAAGCTGTGGTTGTGAGTAGATGCGCTTGTTTTGAGATCAAAGCCAGAGCTGCATATAGCCACCTGTGCACATTTTTTAATATCCTTTGCTAGTTAGTGAGTTATTAGCCCAGTTATAGATCATTTGTAGTCAGCAATAGGGGAGTGATTGCTTCCTACAAGAGCACAAAATGTGCATTTCTAGACATCTTTGAAAAGTGTGTCAGGTAAAGAGCTTTTTTTTTGTCTTAAAGTAGCAGTGTTGTATTTTGAGACAGGCTTGAATAAGCTAAGTAGCCAATAGGCAGAGGGTAGCATAATGTGTCTGATTCTCTGTAATAATGGTATGGGAATAATAATGCATTTTATTTTGTAAAGTGGTTTCTTGCATCAAATAACACAACAACATTTTTAGTCACTTCCTTGTCTGAAGGACAAGTGGATAAACAGGTTAATGTCAAGCCCTGCATATTTTTTTCCAAAGTCTAATGGAATGTAGGCCTACATTGAACACCACACATTGGCTGCTTCTGTAGGATGAATGATAGAACAGCTATTTCCATGTTAAAATGTTATGGGATGCATTTTCTCCATTGTTTTTGATGATAGGCCACTCTGGTAGGACTACATTATGATCAAATAGCCACATTAGCCTACTTGGCCACTGTTAAAACTGTAACTTAAAGCGGGTACAGCCTGTGTTCACAGTAAAAAAAGAAGGTAACATTGGCTGTAGGCCCATTCGTTGCAGCCGTATTCATGATGTACGTATTCCATATTCATGATGTATAATACACAGTGAGGCAACGTTATCAACTCACCTAGCTGACTTGCTAAACTATATGTAACAAAAATATAAACGCAACATGTGAAGTGTTGGTCCCATGTTTCATGAGCTGAAATAAAAGATCCCAGAAATGTTCCAAATGCACAAAAAGCAGGATTGTCCAACAGAGCTGTTGCCAGATAATTTTATGTTCACTTCTCTACCATAAGCCACCTCCAACGTCATTTTAGAGAATTTGGCAGTACATCCAACCTGCCTCACAACCGCAGGCCACGTGTAACCATGCCAGCCCAGGACCTCCACATCCGTCTTCTTCACCTGCCGGATTGTCTGTGGAGGGGGAAGGAGGGTGCTGAGGAGTATTTTTTTAAATATTTAATTTTGTATTTTTTGTTGTTGTATATTACCCCCTTTTTCGTGATATCCAATTGCGATCCAATTACGATCTTGTCTCATCGCTGCAACTCCCCAACGGGCTCGAGTCATGCGTCCTCCGAAACATGACCCGCCAAACCGTGTTTCTTAACACCTGCCCGCTTAACCCGGAAGCCAGCTGCACCAATGTGTCAGAGGAAACACTGTTCAACTGACGACCGAAGTCAGTCTGCAGGCGCCTGGCCCGCCACAAGTAGTCAATAGAGCGCGATGAGCCAAGTAAAGCCCCCCTGACCAAACCCTCCCCTAACCCGGACGATGCTGGGCCAATTGTGCGCCGCCCTATGGGACTCCCGGTCACGGCCGGTTGTGACACAGCCTGGGAACGAACTCGGGTCTGTAGTGACGCCTCAAGCACTGCGATGCAGTGCCTTAGACCGCTGTGCCACTCGGGAGGCCGCTGAAGAGTATTTCTGTCTGAAATAAAGCCCTTTTGTGGGGAAAAACTCATTCTGATTAGCTGTGCCTGGCTCCCCAATTGGTGGGCCTGGCTCCCAAGTGGGTGGGCCTATTTTATTTTTATTTTATTTCACCTTTATTTAACCAGGTAAGCCAGTTGAGAACAAGTGGCCCGCCCAGTCATGTGAAATCCATAGATTAGGGCCTAATGAATTTATTTAAATTGACTGATTCTTCTATGAACTGTAACTCAGTAAAATCTTTGAAATTGTTGTGTTTATATTATTGTTCAGTATATTTGTCATTTATGTTTGTGTTTGACAGCATATCACAGTGCGAAAAGCAGCTGATGGCCGTGTTGTTTTATCCAAGTGCCAGAAGTACCAATTGTATCATTGCCCCTTCTGCCAGCCCTCCATTTTCAAGCCCCGAGACTATGCCAGTGTGTCGGCACACATTGAGTCTCACAGATTGAAGGCTGTGCTGCATAGAGGTAATCACGTACAGTGATGTTACACTTAGCTACACATACTAACCACGTGAAGCCTTCCATTCATTATGCTAGTTTAGCACATGATACCATGATTATTATAAACCGGGAAACTTTGGGTCCTGGATGCTGATCGTTTTATTTTCTCTATTTCAGAGTTCACAATATTCATCTGCCATTTGGAGTGCAGAGCAGCAAAGCATTTCCACTGCCCATACTGCCCCAAGACCTATGTAAATAGGAGTGATTTTACCAAACACATTCCACAATGTGAGTCAGTACGTGGGCGAGCCCCAGGTGCAACTGCCAGAGCCCCAGATGTAACCAGTGCAACTGCAAGAGGCCCAGATGTAACCAGTGCAGCTGCGAGAGGCCCAGATGTAACCAGTGCAACTGCGAGAGGCCCAGATGCAGCCAGTGCAACTGCGAGAGGCCCAGATGCAACCAGTGCAACTGCGAGAGGCCCAGATGCAGCCAGTGCAACTGCGAGAGGCCCAGATGCAACCAGTGCAACTGCGAGAGGCCCAGATGCAGCCAGTGCAACTGCGAGAGGCCCAGATGTAACCAGTGCAACTGCGAGAGGCCCAGATGCAGCCAGTGTAACTGCGAGAGGCCCAGATGCAGCCAGTGCAAGTGCGAGAGGCCCAGATGTAACCAGTGCAACTGCGAGAGGCCCAGGTGCAGCCAGTGCAACTGCGAGAGGCCCAGATGCAGCCAGTGCAACTGCGAGAGGCCCAGATGTAACCAGTGCAACTGTGAGAGGCCCAGATGTAACCAGTGCAACTGTGAGAGGCCCAGATGTAACCAGTGCAACTGTGAGAGGCCCAGATGTAACCAGTGCAACTGTGAGAGGCCCAGATGTAACCAGTGCAACTGTGAGAGGCCCAGATGTAACCAGTGCAACTGTGAGAGGCCCAGATGTAACCAGTGCAACTGTGAGAGGCCCAGGTTCAGCGTGTCCAGCTGTGAGACCTGCAAGCAAGAGGAAAATCAAATGTCGTAACTGCAGTTTATGGCTTAACAAAAATAACCTGACGAAACATCAACTAAGGAAGCATACATCTGCTGAGAAGGACATTACAGCTCACTCCAATCTCAAGAGTCAGTGCTTTGTCCAGGACAATTGGGTGTTTGCAGAGGATCAACACATTTTCCCTGTCTCTCCTTCTCCTGGTGAGCAGCAATACATAATATATACACTGAGTGTACCACCATTAGGAACATCTTCCTAATATTGAGTTGTATCCCCCCCTTTGCCCTCAGAACAGCCTCAATTCGTTGGGGTATGGACTCTACAAGGTGTTGAAAGCGTTCCACAGGGATGCTGGCCCATGTTGACGCCAATGCTTCCTACAGTTGTGTCAAGTTAGTTGGATGTCCTTTGGGTGGTGGACCATTCTTGATGCACACGGGAAACTGTTAAACTTGAAAAACCCAGTAGCGTTGCAGTTCTTGACACACTCAAACTGGTGCGCCTGGTACCTACTACCATACCCCGTTCAAAGGCACTTAAATATTTTGTCTTGCCCAGTCAGCCTCTGAATGGCACACATACACAATCCATGTCTCAATTGTCTCAAGGCTTAAAAATGCTTATTTAACCTGTCTCCTCCCCTTCATCTACACTGATTGAAGTGGATTTAACAAGTGACATCAATAAGGGATCATAGCTGTCACCTGGACAGTCTGTCATGGAAAGAGCAGTTCCTAATGTTCCTAATGTTTTGTACACTAATATTTACAAATGCCAATACCTCACTCACTCATGTTTCAGTACCAGCGGTGGAGGGAGAGATGGGAAGGATGTGTCCATTCTACGCCGAGGATACCCACTGGGCACAGACGTCTATTCCACGTTGATTCAACAACGTTGATTCAACCAGTGTGTGCCCAGTGGGTAGACACATCTTCCATGTCTCCCCTACTCCTGGTGGGCAGCAATATACACTTACCTCACTCTTGTCCACCTCTTTGTGTTATAGTGAAATGCCCCTTAAAATGTCTTTCAGCGCTCATTCGGGAAATGCTTACCAAGCAAGAGGTGATACTGGAACAACAGACACTCATCCTACGACTGTTACAAACAGGACAGCAAAATGGAGCAGAATATGCGATTGAAGAAGGCCTTCTGCCGTTGAAGGATCAGCAAGGTCTCCAGAGCCTGGAAACTGATCTTCAGGGGGCTGACTTCAAAGTTAAACTGGTGAGTTTCATTCCACTTTGTATCTTAAGCTCTTTTTTAGAGATTCAATGGGAGTTTATGGGATTAAATTAATTGTTCAGTTAAGCAAGACAAAAACATTATTATTTATGTCCACAAAAACATTTTGATGAAAAGGAAAAGGCTCCCTGTAAAAACGTTTCAACTTGATGTAGGATAAAAGCTTAATGTTTCGATGCTCAGAATAAGCATACGTGTTTCTTAAAACCATATATGCTTCTCTCACCTGGGGAAAAGCGGCAGTCAATTGTGGATATAAATTGTATGTCAATTGATACATTATTCAAATGTATTTTTCCTTTAGATTAACCACTTGAGCCTAATTGGGGGATGCGATGTGAAAGATGCTGTGTGGCGTTTAATGAGGCGCACAATTTCCAATGCGCTGGCAAAAAACATGAATTGGAGAGGAGTAAATCGGAAAATCTCACTTGCATCCCTTCAACTGAGAGAGGTTTTGATTGGTAAGGATTTCTCATATTTACAAATGTCTCATCACGACACAAATAGCCTGCAATGCAATTACCATTACATTTTACAGTATTCCGTTCTCCCTGTTGCAACTGCCTTTTCACATCTTTGAAACCACTTGTGCTCTTGTTCATTAGCTGTTGTCCGGAAGAATCCGTTAACATCTAGAGCGTCCGAAAGTGATGTGGAGTCGGTCATGAAAAAGTGGTTGCAGCTGGCAGCATACCGGGAAGGAGGAAGAAGGAGACGAGACAGGAGTGTGGCAGCCCCTGTGCCATGATGGACTTGGGGAAAAGGGTGTATTTAAGTGATAGTGCCCAAGAAGCCGTGGTTTGGATGATATATTTGTCAAGGGCCGGCAAACCGTGCCAATATAACCTCCAAATCACGGCTTGGAGGGCATTATCACTTTTATGCAACGGTTACTGACATATTCAAATAATGATTGACATATTTTCATTCAACTTTATTTTGATGAATTTATTCATACTATTTCCTTCCTTCCATGAGATATAGTCCCGACACAAATCTAAGCTGCTTGTTGCCAACCAAGCCAACTGGTCATTAGTTCTATGTGTTCTATGCCAAGCTATCTAAGCTAAATGGCTATACTAGACAAAAGAAAGATATAAGGATGCTCTGACGAAGGCATAATTGCCGAACCACGTTAGCCTGCTCGGCCAAAAATAAAATGGTGAAATGAGGTGACGTTTTTTTGTCCTTATTTTGGAGTGCCGCTGTTTCCCAATGTTCTTGACCTTGGGATTTCATTTGAACTGATTTTAATCAGTGAAACAATACATTCACTTTGTTATTCCCCGCAGCTTAGCTAGCTAGCTAACTAGTTGTTGTATGTTACTATGACAACCAGACCAACTTGCTGTCTGTCTCGTTCGGACACTTTCTATGATACGGTGGAGATCGCAATTCAAAATTGAAACAAATCTCCGCTGTTGAAAACCAAATGCTAGGCTAAAAGATACTGGAAATAATGTCTAGATGCGAACTCAGTCGGGGTCTCACTCCTCACTCTGAACTTACTGTTGAGTTATAATAGCAGAACACACAAGGTGCAATTTCAAGCACCTTTTCTCTTATGTCATTCACTGAGTCACTCAATTAGCCATGTCAGATAACACATTTTAGATTGGTAAATTAATCTAGCCAGCTATCTAAATTTCTAGTAATCATGGCCCATTACCAACCGAGCACGCAGGGCACATGCCCGCATTGATTTTGTTAGTCACTCTCACTCAGATATCATTAACATTGCATAAGTCATGGCAAACTGTTTAGAATTGCAGGAAATTAAAATGTCCTCCGTCAATCTTGCTTAGGGCCCCAAAAGGCTAGGGCCAGCTCTGCTAAAGAGGGCAATAGTAATGGCCTCCTTTTGTAGGCACTAATGTAGGCTTGGCTTTTTGGCCAAAACCTAGCGAGTGGTGAGGAGGAGCTGCGCGGACCCTTTGTCTCCGAAAGTAATTTAGCCATTCATTGTAGCTATTGGCGCTCTGTAGAGTTGCTATTTTCTCAGGTTTTCTCGTGTCAATTAACTTGACATTCCTGGATTACTCATTATGCTAATGAAGTCCGATTTAATCAACAAATACGATAGTCCAGTTTAAAAAAGGTTAAGAGTACAAGACTGTGTACATACACTATACAGTTGAAGTCGGAAGTTTACATACAACCACTCCACAAAGTTTTGGTAAGTCGGTTAGGTCATCTACTTTGTGCATGACACAAGTCATTTTTCCAACAATTGTTTACAGACAGATTATTTCACTTATAATTCACTGTATCACAATTCCAGTGGGTCAGAAGTTTACATACACTAAGTTGACTGTGCCTTTAAACAGCTTGGAAAATTCCAGAAAATTTGAGTCAATTGGAGGTGTACCTGTGGATGTATTTCAAGGCCTACCTTCAAACTCAGTGCCTCTTTTCTTGACATCATGGGAAAATCTAAAGAAATTAGCCAAGATTTGAAAAAAAATTTAGACCTCCACAAGTCTGGTTCATCCTTGGGAGCAATTTCCAAACGCCTGAAGGTACCACGTTCATCTGCACAAACAATGGTACGCAAGTATAAACATCATGGGACCACGCAGCCGTCGTACCGCTCAAGAAGGAGACTTGTTCTGTCTCTTAGAGATTAACGTACTTTGGTGCGAAAAGTGCAAATCAATCCCAGAACAACAGCAAAGGACCTTGTGAAGATGCTGGAGGAAGCAGGTACAAAAGTATCTACATCAACAGTAAAACAAGTCCTATATCGACATAACCTGAAAGGCCGCTCAGCAAGGAAGATGCCACTGCTCCAAAACTGCCATAAAAAAGCCAGACTACGGTTTGCAATTGCACATGGGGACAAAGATTGTACTTTTTGGAATGTCCTCTGGTCTGATGAAACAAAAATAGAATTGTTTGGCCATAATGACCATCGTTATGTTTGGAGGAAAAAGGGGTAGACTTGCAAGCCGAAGAACACCATCCCAACCGTGAAGCACGGGGGTGGTAGCATCATGCTGTCTGGGTACTTTGCTGCAGGAGGGACTGGTGCGCTTCACAAAATAGATGGCATCATGAGGAAGGAAAATTATGTGGATATATTGAAGCAACGTCTCAAGACATCAGTCAGGAAGTTAACGCTTGGTCGCAAATGGGTCTTCCAAATGGACAATGACTCCAAGCATACTTCCAAAGTTGTGGCAAAATGGCTTAAGGTCAACAAAGTCAAGGTATTGGAGTGGCCATCACAAAGCCCTGACCTCGATCCTATAGAAAATGTGTGGGCAGAACTGAAAAAGCGTGTGCGAGCAAGGAGGCCTACAAACCTGACTCAGTTACACCAGCTCTGTCAGGAGGAATGGGCCAAAATTCACCCAACTTATTGTGGGAAGCTTGTGGAAGGCTACCCGAAACGTTTGACCCAAGTTAAACAATTTAAAGGCAATGCTACCAAATACTAATTGAGTGTATGTAAACTTCTGACCCACGGGGAAGTGATGAAATAAATAAAAGCTGAAATAAATAATTCTCTCTACTATTATTCTGACATTTCACATTCTTAAAATAAAGTTGGTGATCCTAACTGGCCTAAGACAGGGAATTTTTACTAGGATTAAATGTCAGGAATGTGAAAAACAGAGTTTAAATGTATTTGGCTCAGGTGTGAAACTTACGACTTCAACTGTATATACAGTGCCTTCCGAAAGTATTCACACCCTTGACTTATTCCACATTTTGTTGTCACAGCCTGAATTCAAAATGGATTCAAAATATTTTTTTCTCACCCATCTACACACAATACCCCATAATGACAAACTGAAAACTTGTTTTTAGACATTTTTGCAAATGTATTAAATTAAGTACAGAAATATCTATTCACTCCCCTGAGTCGATACATGTTAGAATCAGCGATTACAGCTGTGAGTCTTTCTGGGTAAGTCTCTAAGAGCTTTGCACACCTGGATTGTACAATATTTGCATATTTTTTTATTTTTTTATTCTATAAGCTCTGTGAAGTTGGTTGTTGAATTGTTAGATACTACTGCACCTTTGGAGCTAGGAACACCAGCATTTCGCTACACCCGCAATAACATCTGCTAAAATTTGATTTGATTTGATCATTGCTAGACAGCCATTTTCAAGTCTTGCCATAGATTTTGAAGCCGATTTGTCAAAACTGTAACTAGGCCACATGAACATTCAATGTTGTCTTGGTAAGCAACTCCAGTGTATATTTGGCCTTGTGTTTTAGGTTATTGTCCTGCTGAAAGTTGAATTTGTCTCACAGTGTCTGTTGGAAATCAGACTGAAGCAGGTTTTCCTCTAGGATTTTGCCTGTGCTTAGCTCTATTCCTTTTATTTTTATCCCCAAAAAAACTCTAGTCCTTGCCAATGATAAGGATACCCATAACATGATGCAGCCACCACCATGCTTGAAAATATGGAGAGTGGTACTCAGTGATGTGTTGTGTTGGATTTGCCCCAAACCAAACACTTTCAGGACAGTTCATTTATTTTACACATTCTTTGCAGTTTTACTTTAGTGCCTTAATGCAAACAAGAAGCATGTTTCGGAAAATGTTTATTCTGTACAGGCTTCATTCTTTTCACTTTGTCATTTAAGATAGTATTGAGGAATAACTACAATTTTGTTGATCCAGCCTCCTATCACAGCCATTAAACGAACTGTTTAAAAGTCACAATTTGCCTCGTGGTGAAATCCCTGAGCGGTTTCCTTCCTCTCCGGCAGCTGAGTTAGGAAGGACTCCTGTATCTTTGTAGTGACTGGGTGTATTGATACACCATCCAAAGTGTAATTAATAACTTCACCATGCTCAAAGGTATATTCAATGTCTGCTTTTTTTTAAACCCATCTACCAATAGGTGCCCTTCTTTGCGAGGCATTGGAAAACCTCCCTGGTCTTTGTGGTTGAATCTGTGTTTGAAATTCACTGCTCGACGGAGGGACCTTACAGATAATTGTATGTGTGGGGTTCAGAGATGAGGTAGTCATTCAAAAATCATGTTAAACACTTGCAACTTATTATGTGACTTGTTAAGCACATTTGTACTCCTGAACTTATTTAGCCTTGCAATAAAGGGATTGAATACTTATTGACTCAAGACATTTCAGCTTTTCAATTTTAATTCATTTGTTAACATTTTGAAAAACTTAATTCCAGTTTGACATTATGGGGTATTGTGTGTAGGCCAGTGACACAAAATCTCAATTTAATATATTTTAAATGCACAACAAAATGTGGCAAAAGTCAAAGGGTGTGAATACTTTCTGAAGGCATTGTAGGCCTAAAACAATGTAATTGTTGGAGTTCAGGTGTTTGACGGGATTGATGGGTGGCTAGGTGCATTCTTGTCAAATAAATTTATGAATTCATGATTATGGATACATTCTGCAATAAATTAATCTGGCTTTAAATGTGTAACAGAACATGTCAACAAGTTAGTTCTGAATTGCTTTAATACAGCAGTGCATTCTGACACCATGAATTGAATAGATTTCACCTCATTCATGTAGTTGGCAGAAATTATAAGGGATTAAATATAGAACTCCACTGGCTGAAGAAGAAGAGGATCTGGTAAAATAAGGATATGTTGCTAATATCATCTCTAGGTAGGTAGCTAGCTAGCTAGCTTCTTAGCAAAAATATTAGCCTAGTATTTATGGCACATTATAAATATCTGACTGCTACTAGGATAGTATTCTGTACAAGACACAAGACCAAATGCATAAATAAGACAACAAATATGAGTTAAAATAGGGAACAGTAAATTAAAATGTTCAATATATATTTTGTTTTGGATCAAGGTAGCTAGCTAGCTGACAGCAAAGGTGTCAGCTAGAGATGACATGCAGGGATTTGTAGTCATGCATGATGTCTATGATGCTAATTAGCATTTTCGAATCAGGGTAAATAGAGACGACTATATTGATAAAAGTCACCTTTTCCTAGAGAGATTCACACGTTATCAAAACGTCACGCCAGGGAAAGCCTACATGAAATACAGTGGTGTAAAGTACTTAAGTAAAAATACTTGGAAGTACATTTTAGTTATTTAGCAGACGCTCTTATCCAGAGCGACTTACAGTTAGTGAGTGCATACATTTTTCATACTGGCCCCCCGTGGGAATCGAACCCACAACCCTGGCGTTGCAAGCGCCATGCTCTACCAACTGAGTACTACTTAAGTAGTTTTTTGGGGTATCTGTACTTTACTACTTATATTCTTAACAACTTTTACTTCACTACATTCCTGAAGAAAATAATTTACTTTTTACTCCAACATTTTCCCTAACACCCAAAAATAATCGTTACATTTTTGAATGCTTAGCAGGACAGGAAAATTGTCAAATTCACACACTTATCAACAGAACATCTCAGGTCATCACCACTGCCTCTGATCTGGTGGACTCACTAAACACAAATGCTTAGTTTGTAAATTATTCCTCTTGTTGGAGTGTGCCTCTGGCTATCCATAAAAAAAAATAAAAAAATAAATACAACATTATAATGGTGCCATCTGGTTTGCTTAATATAAGGAATTTGAAATTTGCACTTTTACTTTTGATACTTAAGTATATTTCAAACCAAATACTTTTAGACTTTTACTCAAGTAGTATTTTACTGGGTGACTTTCACTTTTACTTGAGTAATTTTCTATTAAGGTATCTTTACTTTTGACTCAAGTATGACAATTGAGTACTTTTTGACCACTAGGTTTTATGGGTATTATGACTTGTGCACTGTGGGGCTCTATACATCCCCATTTACTTTGTTCATATCATCTTTTATTATTTCTTATTGTTGTTGCATTGTCGAGAAGGAACCTGCAAGTAGTAAGCATTTCGTTGGACTTGTATACCATGTGTATCCTGACTAATAAAACGTGCAATTTGAGAAACGAAAAACACTGCTAAATCAAAACTGTTTAACCAATCACAGAGCGCTGATATATAGCTGATGAGCCACCCACTGATTTCGCCACGCCCACTTTCCGCGTATGCAGTTACCTATACTTGATTGGTTGTCACTAGTTACTACATCACAAAGTCATAATTATGGCTAAACCCCACCAATTACTACAAATGATCTTCTTAAAATCAGATTTTAAACCTAACCTTAACCACACTGCTAACCTTATGCCGAACCCTTAAATTAAGACCAAAAAGCAAATGTTTGTTTTCATGAATTAGTATAATATAGCCAATGTTGGTAAAAATGTGGCAAAAATGTATTCCCCGTCCATAGACTTGCTTTACCGCCTCCCAGTGGTTAGAGTTAGACATTACTTGAAGAACATTTGTTCCTTGTCTCTGTTTCCGGTCGGTAACATTATTTTCCTAGTGTGCATCTCTGAAGCTAGCTAGCAGCACAGTAGCCGCTAAACATGGCTACTGTTCTCCCACCCAGACCTTGCGATAGCAACCCTGCAACCCCGGGAGTTCAGTCTGTAAAGGTAAACTTGGCAAAGATATCGGACTGGAAATACTACTATACACATTGCTGGCCACATACATATTAATAATGTGTTGAAGACACAACATGCTAAGGTAGCTAACGTTAGTTAGCTGACAACACAACTCCTTTGTTTTATTCAACCTACTGCCGTTTCGCTAGTTAGCTAACGTTAGAAATACAATTGTTAGCTATCTAGCTATTGGGGTTCGATGTGTTGTAACTCTTGTGTCGTCGTTAGTTAACGACTAGATAGTTTACGTTATTAGCTAGCTAGCTATCCATAACGTTAACTACATTTTACTTAGCTAGTCTAGCTATCTAGGTAGGTACCTAGCTGTTTAATACTAGTGTCAGCATATCATTGTTTTTCATTACATCGTGTGTGTCATTATAAACTGGGTGGCTCGAGCCCTGAATGCTGATTGGCTGACAGTCGTGGTATATTTCAAGCAATAATGCATGAGGGGGTGTGGTATATCAAATCAAGTTGTATTGGTCACACACATATTTAGCAGATGTTATTGTGGGTGTAGCAAAATGCTTGTGTTTCTAGCTCCAACAGTGCAGTAGTATCTAACAATTCACAACAATACACAAATCTAAAAGTAAAATAATGGAATTAGGAAATATATAAATATTATGATGAACAATGTTGGAGTGGCATTGACTAAAATACAGTAGAATCGAATACAGTATATACAGTACATTTACATATTAGTCATTTAGCAGACGCTCTTATCCAGAGTGACTTACAGTTAGTGAGTGCATACATTTTCATACTGGACCCCCATGGGAAACGAACCCACAACCCTGGCGTTGCAAGTGCCATGCTCTACCAACTGAGCTACAGGGGGCTCCAGTCAAAAGTTTGGACACACCTACTCATTCAAGGGTTTTTCTTTATTTGTACTATTTTCCACATTGTAGAATAATAGTGAAGACATCTAAACTATGAAATAACACATATGGAATCATGTAGTAACCAAAAATGAAAGCTTTGCACACTCTTGGCAATCTCTCAACCAGCTTCACCTGGAATGCTTTTCCAACGGTCTTGAAGGAGTTCCCACATATGCTGAGCACTTGTGGGCTGCTTTTCCTTCACTCTGCGGTCCAACTCATCCCAAACCATCTCAATTGGGTTGAGGTCGGGTGATTGTGGAGGCGAGGTCATCTGATGCAGCACTCCATCACTCTCCTTCTTGGTCAAATAGCACTTACACAGCCTGGAGGTGTGTTTTGGGTCATTGTCCTGTTGAAAAACAAATGATAGTCCCATTAAGTGCAAAACAGATGGGATGGCGTATCGCTGCAGAATGCTGTGGTAGCCATGCTGGTTAAGTGTGCCTTGAATTCTAAATAAATCACAGACCGTGTCACCAGCAAAGCACCCCCACACCATCACACCACCTCCGCCGTGCTTCATGGTGGGAACCACACATGCGGAGATCATCTGTTCACCTACTCTGAGTCTCACAAAGACAAGGCGGTTGGAACCAAAAATCTCAAATTTGGACTCATCAGACCAAAGGACAGATTTCCACTAGTCTAATGTCCATTGCTCGTGTTTCTTGGCCCAAGCAAGTCTCTTCTTCTTATTGGTGTGCTTTAGTAGTGGTTTCTTTGCAGCAATTCAACCATGAAGGCCTGATTCACACACTCCCCTCTGAACAGTTGATGATGAGATGTGTCTGTTACTTGAACTCTGTGAAGCATTTATTTGGGCTGCAATTTCTGAGGCTTGTAACCCTAATGAACTTATCCTATGCAGCAGAGGTAACTCCGGGTCTTCCTTTCCTGTGGCGGTCCTCATGAGAGCCAGTTTCATCATAGCACTTGATGATTTTTGAAACTGCACTTGAAGAAACTTTCAAAGTTCTTGAAATGTTCCGTATTGACTGACCTTCATGTCTTAAAGTAATGATGGACTGTCATTTCTCTTTACTTATTTGAGCTGTTCTTGCCATAATATGGACTTGGTCATTTACCAAATAGGGCTATCTTCTGTATATCACACCCCAATCTTGTCACAACACAACTGATTGGCTCAAACACATTAAGAAGGAAATAAATTCCACTAATTAACTTTTAACAAGGCACCTGTTAATTGAAATGCATTCCAGGTGACTACCTCATGAAGCTGGTTGGGAGAATGCCAAGAGTGTGCACAGCTGTCATCAAAGCAAAGGGTGGCTACTTTGAAAAATCTCAAATATATTTTGATTTGTTTAACAGTTTTTTGGTTACTGGATGATTCCATATGTGTTTTTTCATAGTTTTGATGTCTTCACTATTCTACAATATAGTAAAAATAAAGAAAATCCCTTGAATGTGTAGGTGTGTCCAAACCTTTGACTGGTACTGTACATATTAGATGAGTACAGCAGTATGTAAACAATGTTAACGTGACTAGTGTTCCATTTATTTAAGTGGCCATATCTTATGTACAGTTGAAGTCGGAAGTTTACATACACTTAGGTTGGAGTCATTAAAACTAGTTTTTCAACCACTCCACAAATTTCTTGTTAACAAACTATCGTTTTGGCAAGTCGGTTAGGACATCCACTTTGTGCATGACACAAGTAATCTTTCCAACAATTGTTTACAGACAGATTATTTCACTTGTAATTCACTGTATCAAAATTCCAGTGGGTCAGAAGTTTACATACACTAAGTTGACTGTGCCTTTAAACAGCTTGGGAAATTCCTGAAAATTATGTCATGGCTTTAGAAGCTTCTGATAGACTAATTGACATCATTTGAGTCAATTGTAGGTGTACCTGTGGATGTATTTCAAGGCCTACCTTCAAATTTTTGCTTGACATCATGGGAAAATCAAAAGAAATCAGCAAAAAAATTGTAGACCTCCACAAGTCTGGTTCATCCTTGGGAGCAATTTCCAAACGCCTGAAGGTACCACGTTCATCTGTACAAACAATAGTACGCAAGTATAAACACCATGGGACCACGCAGCCGTCATACCGCTCAGGAAGGAGACACGTTCTGTCTCCTTGAGATTAACGTACTTTGGTACGAAAAGTGCAAATCAATCCCAGAACAACAACAAAGGACCTTGTGAAGATGCTGGGGGAAACAGGTACAAAAGTATCTATATCCACAGTAAAACAAGTCCTATATCGACAACCTAAAAGGCCGCTCAGCAAGGAAGAAGCCACTGCTCCAAAACCGCCATAAAAAAGCCAGACTACGGTTTGCAACTGCACATGGGGACAAAGATCGTACTTTTTGGAGAAATGTCCTCTGGTCTGATGAAACAAAAATAGAACTGTTTGGCACTAATGACCATCGTTATGTTTGGAGGAAAAGGGGTTGGCTTGCAAGCCGAAGAACACCATCCCAACTGTGAAGCACGGATGTGGCAGCATCATGCTGTGGGGGTGCTTTGCTGCAGGAGGGTCTGGTGCACTTCACAAAATAGATGGCATCTTGAGGAAGGAAAATTATGTGGATATATTGAATCAACATCTCAAGACATCAGTCAGGAAGTTAACGCTTGGTCGCAAATGGGTCTTCCAAATGGACTATGACCCCAAGCATACTTCCAAAGTTATGGCTTTAGGTCAACAAAGTAAAGGTATTGGAGTGGCCATCACAAAGCCCTGACCTCAAGCCTATAGAACATTTGTGGGCAGAACTGAAAAAGTGTGTGCGAGCAAGGAGGCCTACAAACCTGACTCAGTTACACCAACTCTGTCAGGAGTAATGGGCCAAAATTCACCCAACTTATTGTGGGAATCTTGTGGAAGGCTACCCAAAATGTTTGACCCAAGTTAAACAATTTAAAGGCAATGCTACCTAATACTAATTGAGTGTATGTAAACTTCTGACCCACTGGGAATGTGATGAAATAAATAAAAGCTGAAATAAATCATTCTCTCTCCTATTATTCTGACATTTCAAATTCTTAAAATAAAGTGGTGATCCTAACTGACCTAAGATAGGGCATTTTTACTAGGATTAAATGTCAGGAATTGTGAAAAACTGAGTTTAAATGTATTTTGCTAAGGTGTATGTAAACTTTTGACTTCAACTGTATATAGGGCAGCAGCCTCGAAGGTGCAGGGTTGAGTAGCCGGGTGGTTGCTGGCTAGTGATGGCTATTTAACAGTCTGATGGCCTTGAGATAGAAGCAGTTTTTCAGTCTCTCGTCCCAGCTTGGTGCAACTGTACTGACCTCGCCTTCTGGATGATAGCGGGGTGAACAGGCCGTGGCTCGGGTGGTTGATTTCCTTGATCTTTTTTACCTTCCTGTGACATTGGGTGCTGTAGGTCTCCTGGAGGGCAGGCAGTGTGCCCCCGGTGATGCCTTGGGCAGACCGTACCACCCTCTGGAGAGCCCTGCGGTTGTGGGCGGTGCAGTTGCCGTACCAGGCGGTGATACAGCCCGACAGGATGCTATCAATTTTGCCTTTGTAAAAGTTTCTGAGGGTCTTAGGGGCCAAGCCAAATTTCTTCAGCCTCCTGAGTTTGAAGAGGCGCTGTTGCGCCTTCTTCACCACACTGTCTGTGTGGGTGGACCATTTTAAGATTGTCAGTGATGTGTACGCAGAGGAAATTAAAGCTTTCCACCTTCTCCGCTGCGGTCCCGTCAATGTGGATAGGGGCGTGCTCCCTCTGCTGTTTCCTGAAGTCCACGATCAGCTCCTTCATTTTGTTGACATTGAGGGAGAGGTTATTTTCCTGGCACCACTCCGCCAGAGCCCTCACCTCCTCCCTGTAGGCTGTCTCGTCATTGTTGGTAATCAGGCCTACTACTGTTGTCGTGTGCAAACTTGATGATTGAGTTGGAGGCGTGCGTGGGCACGCAGTCATTGGTGAACATGGAGTACAGGAGGGGGGACTGAGCACGCACCCTTGTGGGGCCCCTGTTTTGAGGATCAGCGAAGTGGAGGTGTTGTTTCCTACCATAACCACCTGGGGCCGGCCCGTCAGGAAGTCCAGGACCCAGTTGCACAGGGCGGGGTTCAGACCCAGGGCCCCGATCTTAATGATGAGCTTGGAGGGTACTATGGTGTTGAAGGCTGAGCTGTAGTCAATGAACAGCACTCTTACATAGGTATTCCTCTTGTCCAGATGGGATAGGGCAGTGTGCAGTGCGATGGCGATTGCATCGTCTTTGGATCTATTGGGGCGGTAAGCAAATTGAAATGGATCTAGGGTGTCGGGTAATGTAGAGGGGATATGATCCTTAACTAGCCTCTCAAAGCACTTCATGATGACAGAGGTGAGTGCTACGGGGCGATAGTCATTTAGTTCAGTTACCTTTGCTTTCTTGGGTACAGGAACAATGGTGGCCATCTTGAAGCATGTGGGAACAGCAGACTTGGAAAGGGAGAGTTTGAATATGTCCGTAAACACTCCAGCCAGCTGGTCTGCGCATGTTCTGAGGACGTGGCTAGGAATGCTGTCTGGGCCGGCAGCCTTGCGAGGGTTAACACGCTTAAATGTCTTACTCATGTCGGCCACGGAGAACGAGAGCCCACAGTCCTTGGGAGCGGGCTGCGTTGTTGGCACTGTGTTAACCTCAAAGCGGACGAAGAAGGTTTTTAGCTTGTTTGGGAGCAAGACGTCGGTGTCCGTTACGTGGCTTGTTTTCCCTTTGTAGTCCGTGATTGTCTGTAGACCCTGCCACATATGTCTCGTGTCTGAGCCGTTGAATTGCGACTCCACTTTGTTTCTGTACTGACGTTTTGCCTGTTTTGATTGCCTTACGGAGTTAATAACTACACTGTTTGTATTCTGCCATATTCCCAGTCACCTTGCCATGGTTAAATGTGGTGGTTCGCGCTTTCAGTTTATACCACAAACCCCCGAGTTGCCTTATTGCTATTATAAACTGGTTACCAATGTAATTAGAACAGTAAAAATTATATATTTGTCATACCCCTGTCAGCCAATCAGCAATCAGGGCTCGAACCACCCAGTTTATAACAGACCGTATACCACGAGTATGACAAAACATTTATTTTTACTACTCTAATTACTTTGGTAACAAGTTTATAATAGCAATAAGGCACCTCGGGGGTTTGTGGTATATGGCCAATATACCACAACTAAGGGCTGTATCCAGACACTCCGCGTTGCGTCATGCATAAGAACATCCCTTAGCCGTGGTATATTGGCCATATACCACCCCTCCTCCGACCATAGTCCAAATCAAATGCTCTCTGTTTTGCCTCTAGGCATGCCTAATAAATCAGACTGTGATAACAATTCATGGTATACATTCTGAAACAAAACACTGCAAAAACTTGAAAAGTTTCCTTACAATCCAGAATGTTGAATACAAGTACATTTGAACTTGGTACCAGTTGGTTGAAATTAGAGACAAAATATCCACAGGAAAGTATTATTTACCCAACTTTGTGCTCTGGCACATGCGCAAAACCATGTAAACACCTGCAAGACTTCGGTTAGTATGCATGTATCGCGTGCGTGTACTTCCATCTTGTGCACATGCCTTGGGTCATGTGCACAAGACGGAAGTAAACAAATCTTGATTGCCACATAGACTCGCGTTTTGAAGTCGTTTAATAAATATTTCCTGTGGATATTTTTGTCTTACATTTTGACCAGCTGAATGACCAACCCCATGGACAATCGGCAGAGTAAGTTCAAATATAATTGTATTCAACATTCGTGACAGACAATGGATGTTTATGTAAATGCATGCCTATGCTATACATAATGGAAGGCATTGCCACAATCGGGAATAGGGCTACCTCTAAGTCAGCTTAATCTAGTGAGAGGGGAACGGTGCTTAATGGATCTACACAACAGAGGAAATTAACTAACCCCTTGAGATCTGAAAACGTCCAACAAACTTTCATTTAGGAGAGAACTATTAACTTTAACAAGTAGTAATAGTTCAGGTGTTTTGTGTATCCTAACTGTATGGGCTATCCTTTTAGGATGACATCGAGGAAGTGTCCAATGATGGCAGTCAAGCTCCAAAAAGACGGCGCATGGGTTCAGGCGACAGTTCCAGAAGTTGCGACACCTCCAGTCAGGAACTTGGGTATGTGGTCAGATCATATCTGAAGGCGTAGATTGAAATATTTTCATCACTACTTCCTAATAGACCACGTCCAATCCCCATTACAAACTCTTAGGCTGCGTTTACACAGGCAGTGCAGTTCCGATCTTTTTTCCACTAATTGGTCTTTTGACAAATCAGATCTTTTCACATTAGATTTGATTGGTCAGAAATATCAGAATTGGGCTGCCTGTCTAAACGCAGCCTATGTGTCCAATAACATTGAGTCCCTCTTTCAAATAGGCTTAATACTTCTACCCTGCTCTTAACCTTTCAGTCAAATGTGTTTCCCCAGGCCCACATACTTCTCAGCAGAAAATCTGACCGAGTACAGGTGGCCGTCAGACGGCAGTGGGGAGTACTATATGTTGCAAGAACAAGTCAGTGAATATCTGGGAGTCACTTCATTCAAGCGAAAATATCCAGGTAATGTGACTGAACGTTTGGCATGTATGGTGTAGGAGGATCATTGTGTGTCAATTTAATGATTAGGCTAATAGGCTATAACGAAACTATCTGTAGATTATACTGGTCAATCTCTAGCTAACCATGCCTTATTTAAATGGTAATAAGCCTCCAGGTTTGATTTGTTTTTTTATCCTCAATAATTGTTTTTGTATGTAATGTTGTCTCTGGCTAGAGCGGTCTACTACTTTGAATTACCTAATCAATTCAATCAATTATTCTTTTAGATTTGGAAAGGAGAGACCTCTCCCACAAGGAGAAGCTATATCTGAGGGAGCAAAATGTCATCACAGAGACTCAGTGCACCTTGGGTGAGAACTGGAAAAACATGGAATTGTTGCGTAATCACGAAGAGCTTGGAGTGCGGCATAAACCACCAGGGCCTCAAGCCTTACCAAGAGTTGTTTTGGGGAATTAGGCTATTCATGGATACATTCATTAATTGTGAATCTCCTTTTCCAGGCCTGACTGCTTTACGAAGTGATGAAGTCATTGATTTGATGATCAAGGAGTACCCGGGAAAACATGCTGAGTATTCTGTCATCCTCCAAGAGAGGGAGCGCCAGAGGATAACAGAAGAGTACTCTGTAAGTACTCTCAGTTCAGAGAGTATCATTGTTAGTACTCTCAGTTCAGAGAGTACCACTAACGTTAGTACTCTCAGTTCAGTGAGTATCATTAATGTTAGTACTCTCAGTTCAGTGAGTATCACTAATGTTAGTACTCTCAGTTCAGTGAGTATCACTAATGTTAGTACTCTCAGTTCAGTGAGTATCACTAATGTTAGTACTCTCAGTTCAAGTTCAGTGAGTACCACTAACGTTAGTACTCTCAGTTCAGAGAGTATCACTAACGTTAGTACTCTCAGTTCAGTGAGTATCACTAATGTTAGTACTCTCAGTTCAGTGAGTATCACTAATGTTAGTACTCTCAGTTCAGTGAGTATCACTAATGTTAGTACTCTCAGTTTAGTGAGTATCACTAACGTTAGTATGCTCAGCAACATTGACACATTTTAATTGATGCAAAGTTAGTTTTGTGTTTGCTGATTTCTAGATCTTGTTACAGCAGTCTTGGACTTGAGTTCCCCGATTTGTATATTTTCACTCATAGTACATTTACAGTTGACATGGTTATTCAATATGTTGTTGGTAAGTTTTTATTCTATGTTTTTATCTCCAAGAAAATGCAGCAACAAAGGCCTCAGAAGGTTGAAGCCAGTAGAGTGCCAGAGTACATACAGAAAGCTGCCAAGAAAGCTGCTGAGTTCAACAGTAACTTCAACAGGGAAAGGATGGAAGAGAGAAGGGCATATTTTGACCTTCAGACACACGTACGTGAATACATTGAATATACACTACCGGACAAAAGTTTTAGAACACCTACTCATTGAAGGTTTTTTCTTTATTTTTACTATTTTCTACACTGTGGAATAATAGTGAAGACATCAAAACTATGAAATAACACATGAAATCGTGCAGTAACCAACAAAGTGTTAAACAAATCAAAATATATTTTATATTTGAGATTCTTCAAATAGCCACCCTTTGCCTTGATGGGCTCCTGAATGGCGCAGCGGTCTAAGGCACTGCATCTCAGTGCTTGAGGCGTCACTAAAGACACCCTGGTTTGATTCCAGGCTGTATCACAACCGGCCGTGACTGGGAGTCCCATAGGGCGGCGCACAATTGGCCCAGCGTCGTCCGGCTTTGGCCGGTGTAGGCCGTCATTGTAAATAAGAATTTGATCTTAACTGACTTGCCTAGTTAATAATAATAATAATAATAATAATATGCCATTTAGCAGACGCTTTTATCCAAAGCGACTTAGTCATGTGTGCATAAATTTTTACGTATGGGTGGTCCCGGGGATCGAACCCACTACCCTGGTGTTACAAGCGCCATGCTCTACCAATTGAGCTACAGAGGACCAGTTAAATAAAGGTACAAATATATATATTTTTATGAAAGCTTTGCACACTCTTGGCATTCTCTCAACCAGCTTCACCTGGAATGCTTTTCCAACAGTCTTGAAGGAGTTCCCACATATGCTGAACACTTGTTGGCTGCTTTTCCTTCACTCTGCGGTCCGACTCATCCCAAACCATCTCAATTTGGTTGTGGTTGGGGGATTGTGGAGGCCAGGTCATCTGATGCAGCACTCCATCACTCTCCTTCTTGGTCAAATAGCCCTTACACAGCCTGGAGGTGTGTTGGGTCATTGTCCTGTTGAAAAACAAATGATAGTCCCAGTAAGCCCGAACCAGATGGGATGGCGTATCGTTGCAGAATGCTGTGGTAGCCATGCTGGTGAAGTGTCCTTGAATTCTAAATAAATCACAGACATTGTCACCAGCAAAGCACCCCCACACCATAACACCTCCTCCTCCATGCTTACGGTGGGAAATACACATGCGGAGATCCTCTGTTCACCCACACCGCGACTCACCCTCCGTTCAAGACACGGCGGTTGGAACCAAAAATCTCCAATTTGGACTCCAGACCAAAGGACACTTTTCCACCAGTCTAATGTCCATTGCTCATGTTTCTTGGCCCAAGCAAGTCTCTTCTTTTTATTGGTGTCCTTTAGTAGTGGTTTCTTTGCAGCAATTTGACCATGAAGGCCTGATTCACACAGTCTCCTCTGAACAGTTGATGTTGAGATGTGTCTGTTACTTGAACTCTGTGAAACATTTATTTGGGCTGCAATTTCTGAGGCTGGTAACTCTAATGAACTTATCCTCTGCAGCAGAGGTAAATCTGGGTCTTCCATTCCTGTGGCGGTCCTCTTGAGAGCCAGTTTCATCATAGCGCTTGATGGTTTTTGCGACTGCACTTGAAGAAACTTTGTAAGTTCTTGAAATTGTTAGTATTGACTGACCTTCATGTCTTAAAGTAATGATGGACTGTTGTTTCTCTTTGCTTATTTGAGCTGTTCGTGCCATAATATGGACTTGGTCTTTTACCAAATAGGGCTATCTTCTGTATACCCCCTACCTTGTCACAACACAACTGATTGGCTCAAACCAATTAAAAAGGAAATACATTCCACAAATTAACTTTTAAGAAAGCACACCTGTTAATTGAAATGCATTCCAGGTGACTACCTCATGAAGCTGGTTGAGAGAATGCCAAGAGGGTGCAGAGCTGTCATCAAAGAAAAGAGTGGCTATTTGAAGAATCTCAAATATAAAATATATTTTGATTTGTTTAACACTTTTTTGGTTACTACATGATTCCATATGTGTTATTTCATTGTTTTGATGTCTTCACTATTATTCTACAATGTAGAAAATAGTAAAAAATAAAGAAAAACCCTGGAATGAGTAGGTGTTCTAAAACATTTGACCGGTAGTGTATACGTGTAGCTCTATTAGTCATTCATATTTTGACCTTCAGACACACGTACGTTAATACGTTGTGTATATATACAGTTGAAGTCGGAAGTTTACATACACCTTAGCCTTGTATACTCAGTGTATCTACTCAAACATAAAAATGTTCTTATAAACACAAAATATGAATGACTAATAGAGCTTTTCGTATTTATTCAAGGTATTAACGTAGAGTTGAAGTCGGAAGTTTACATACACCTTAGCCAAATACATTTAAACTCAGTTTTTCACAATTCCTGACATTTAATCCTAGTAAAAATTCCCTGTTTTAGGTCAGTTAGGATCACCACTTTATTTTAAGAATGTGAAATGTCAGAATAATGGTAGAGAGAATGATTTATTTCAGCTTTTATTTGTTTCATCACATTCCCAGTGGATCAGAAGTTTACGTACACTCAATTAGTATTTGGTAGCATTGCCTTTAAATTGGAGGTGTACCTGTGGATGTATTTCAAGGCCTACCTTCAAACTCAGTGCCTCTTTGCTTGACATCATGGGAAAATCAAAAGAAATCAGCAAAGACCTCAGAATAAAAAAATTGTAGACCTCCACAAGTCTGGTTTATCCTTTGGAGCAATTTCCAAAAGCCTGAAGGTACCACGTTCATCTGTACAAACAATAGTACGCAAGTATAAACACCATGGGACCACGCAGCCGTCGTACCTCTCAGGAAGGAGACGCGTTCTGTCTCCTAGAGATGAACGTACTTTGGTGCGAAAAGTGTAAATCAATCCCAGAACAACAGCAAAGGACCTTTTGAAGATGCTGGAGGAAACGGATACAAAATTAGCTATATCCACAGTAAAACAAGTCCTATATCGACATAACCTGAAAAGCCGCTCAACAAGGAAGAAGCCACTGCTCCAAAACCGCCATAAAAAAGCCAGACTACGGTTTGCAACTGCACATGGGGACAAAGATCTAACTTTTTGGAGAAATGTCCTCTGGTCTGATGAAACAGAAATAGAACTGTTTGGCCATATTGACCATCGTTATGTTTGGAGGAAAAAGGGGGTGGCTTGCAAGCCGAAGAACACCATCCCAACCGTGAAGCACGGGGGTGGCAGCATCATGCTGTGGGGGTGCTTTGCTGCAGGAGGGACTGGTGCACTTCACAAAATAGATGGCATCATGAGGAAGGAAAATTATGTGGATATATTGAAGCAACATCTCAAGACATCAGTCAGGAAGTTAAAGCTTGGTTGAAAATGGGTCTTCCAAATGGACAATGACCCCAAGTATACTTCCAGAGTTGTGGCAAAATGGCTTAAGGACAACAACGTCAAGGTATTGGAGTGGCCATCACAAAGCCCTGACCTCAATCCTATAGAAAATTTTAGGGCAGAACTGAAAAAGCATGTGCGAGCAAGGAGGCCTACAAACCTGACTCAGTTACACCAGCTCTGTCAGGAGGAATGGGCCAAAATTCACCCAACTTATTGTGGGAAGCTTGTTGAAGGCTACCCGAAACGCTTGACCCAAGTTAAGCAATTTAAAGGCAATGCTACCAAATACTAATTGAGTGTATGTAAACTTCTGACCCACTGGGAATGTGATGAAAGAAATAAAAGCTGAAATAAATCATTCTCTCTACCATTATTCTGACATTTCACATTCTTAAAATAAAGTGGTGATCCTAACTGACCTAAAACAGGGAATTTTTACTAGGATTAAATGTCAGGAATTGTGAAAAACTGAGTTTAAATGTATTTGGCTAAGGTGTATGTAAACTTCCGACTTCAACTCTACGTTAATACCTTGAATATATACGTGTAGCTCTATTAGTCATTCCTATTTTGACCTTCAGACACACGTATGTTAATACCTTGAATAAATACGAAAAGCTCTATTAGTCATTCATATTTTGTGTTTATAAGAACTCACTTGTCATGTTTGAGTAGATACACTGAGTATACAAGGCATCAGGAACAAATCAAATTTTATTGGCCACATGCGCCGGATACAACAGGTGCAGACATTACAGTGAAATGCTTACTTAAAGCCCTTAACCAACAGTGCATTTATTTTTTAATAAAAAAGTAAAATAAAACAACAACAAAAAAGTGTTGAGAAAAAAAGAGCAGAAGTAAAATAAAATAACAGTAGGGAGGCTATATATACAGGGGGGTACCGGTGCAGAGTCAATGTGCGGGGGCACCGGCTAGTTGAGGTAGTTTAAGTAATATGTACATGTGGGTAGAGTTAAAGTGACTATGCATAAATAATTAACAGCAATTAGCAGCAGCGTAAAAAGATGGGGTGGGGGGGCAGTGCAAATAGTCCGGGTAGCCATGATTAGCTGTTCAGGAGTCTTATGGCTTGGGGGTAGAAGCTGTTGAGAAGTCTTTTGGACCTAGACTTGGCACTCCGGTACCGCTTGCCGTGCGGTAGCAGAGAGGACAGTCTATGACTAGGGTGGCTGGAGTCTTTGACAATTTTGAGGGCCTTCCTCTGACACCGCCTTGTATAGAGGTCCTGGATGGCAGGAAGCTTGGCCCCAGTGATGTACTGGGCCGTACGCACTACCCTCTGTAGTGCCTTGAGGTCGGAGGCCAAGCAGTTGCCATACCAGGAGGTGATACAACCAGTCAGGATGCTCTCGATGGTGCAGCTGTAGAATTTTTTGAGGATCTGAGGACCCATGCCGAATCTTTTCAGTCTCCTGAGGGGGAATAGGCTTTGTCGTGCCCTCTTCACGACTGCCTTGGTGTGTTTGGACCATGATAGTTCGTTGGTGATGCGGACACCAAGGAACTTGAAGCTCTCAACCTGTTCCACTACAGCCTCGTCGATGAGAATGGGGGCGTGCTCAGTCCTCTTTTTTTTCCTGTAGTCCACAATCATCTCCTTTGTCTTGGTCACGTTGAGGGAGAGGTTGTTATCCTGGCACCACATGGCCAGGTCTCTGACCTCCTCCCTATAGGCTGTCTCATCGTTGTCGGTGATCAGGCCTACCACTGTTGTGTCGTCGGCAAACTTAATGATGGTGTTGGAGTCGTGCCTGGCCATGCAGTCATGGGTGAACAGGGAGTACAGGAGGGGACTGAGCACGCACCCCTGAGGACCCCCAGTGTTGAGGATCAGTGTGGCAGATGTGTTGTTACCTACCCTTACCACCTGGGGGCGGCCCGTCAGGAAGTCCAGGATCCAGTTGCAGAGGGAGGTGTTTAGTCCCAGAATCCTTAGCTTAGTGATGAGCTTTGAGGGCACTATGGTGTTGAATGCTGAGCTGTAGTCTATGAATAGCATTCTCACGTAGGTGTTCCTCTTGTCCAGGTGGGAAAGGGCAGTGTGGAGTGCAATAGAGATTGCATCATCTGTGGATCTGTTGGGGCGGTATGCAAATTGGAGTCGGTCTAGGGTTTCTGGGATAATGGTGTTGATGTGAGCCATGACCAGCCTTTCAAAGCACTTCATGGCTACAGACGTCAGTGCTACGGGTCGGTAGTCATTTAGGCAGGTTATCTTAGTGTCCTTGGGCACGGGGACTTTGGTGGTCTGCTTGAAACATGTTGGTATTACAGACTCAGTCAGGGACATGTTGAAAATGTCAGTGAAGACACTTGCCAGTTGGTCAGCACATGCTCGGAGTACACGTCCTGGTAATCCGTCTGGCCCTGCGGCCTTGTGAATGTTGACCTGCTTAAAAGTCTTACTCACATCGGCTACGGAGAGCGTGATCACATAGTCATCCGGAACAGCTGGTGCTCTCATGCATGCTTCAGTGTTGCTTGCCTCGAAGCGAGCATAGAAGTGGTTTAGCTCGTCTGGTAGGCTTTTGTCACTGGGAAGCTTGCGGCTGTGCTTCCCTTTGTAGTCTGTAATAGTTTTCAAGCCCTGCCACATCCGACGAGCGTCAGAGCCGGTGTAGTACGATTCAATCTTAGTCCTGTATTGACTCTTTGCCTGTTTGATGGTTCGTCGGAGGGCATAGCGGGATTTCTTATAAGCGTCCGGGTTAGAGTCCCGCTCCTTGAAAGCGGCAGCTCTACCCTTTAGCTCAGTGCGGATGTTTCCTGTAATCCATGGCTTCTGGTTGGGGTATGGACGTACGGTCACTGTGGGGACGACATCATCGATGCACTTATTGATGAAGCCAGTGACTGATGTGGTGTACTCCTCAATGCTATCTGAAGAATCCCGGAATATGTTCCAGTCTGTGCTAGCAAAACAGTCCTGTAGCTTAGCATCTGCGTCATCTGACCACTTTTTTATTAACCGAGTCACTGGTGCTTCCTGCTTTAGTTTTTGCTTATAAGCAGGAATCAGGAGGATCGAGTTATGGTCAGATTTGCCAAATGGAGGGCGAGGGAGAGCTTTGTATGCGTCTCTGTGTGTGGAGTAAAGGTGGTCTAGAGTTTTTTTTCCTCTGGTTACACATTTAACATGCTGGTAGAAATTAGGTAGAATGGATTTAAGTTTCCCTGCATTAATGTCCCCGGCCACTAGGAGCGCTGCCTCTGGATGAGCGTTTTCCTGTTGATTTATGGCCTTATACAGCTCATTCAGTGCAATCTTAATGCCAGCATTGGTTTGTGGTGGTAAATAGACAGCTATGAAAAATATAGATGAAAACTCTCTTGGTAAATAGTGTGGTCTACAGCTTATCATAAGATACTCTACCTCAGGCGAGCAAAACCTCAAGACTTCCTTAGTATTTGATTTTGTGCACCAGCTGTTGTTTACAAATATACACAGACCGCCACCCCTTGTCTTACCGGAGTCAGCCGTTCTATCCTGCCGATGTAGCGTATAGCCCGCTAGCTGTATGTTATCCATATCGTCGTTCAGCCACGACTCGGTGAAACATAAGATATTAGTTTTTAATGTCCCGTTGGTAGGATAACCGTAATCTTAGGTCATCCAATTTATTTTCCAACACCTGCTCTTTCCATGACATAGACTGACCAGGTGAATCCAGGTGAAAGCTATGATCCCTTATTGATGTCACTTGTTAAATCCACTTCAATCAGTGTAGATTAAGGGGAGGAGACGGGTTAAAGAAAGATTTTTAAGCCAGTTGAGACATGGGTTGTGTATTTGTGCCATTCAGAGGGTGAATGAGCAATACAAAATATTGAAGTGCCTTTGAACGGGGTATGGTAGTAGGTACCAGGCGCACCAGTTTGTGATAACTGCAATGCTGCTGGGTTTTTCACGCTCAACAGTTTCCTGTGTGTATCAAGAATGGTCCACCACCCAAAGGACATCCAGCCAAGTTGACACAACAGTGGGAAGCATTGGAGTCAACATTGGCCAGCATCCCTGTGGAATGCTTTTGACACCATGTAGAGTCCATGCCCCTACGAATTGAGGCTGTTCTGAGGGCAAAAGGGGGTGCAACTCAATATTACGAAGGTGTTCCTAATGTTTTATACACTCAGTGTATATCGGTACATTAATAAACTGTAGTACTTATCTATGTGGAGTTGAACGTGTAATTGAATGAGTAAAAGTTTCAACAGTAACTTTCTAACAGATTATCCAAGTACCCCAAGGGAGGTATAAAGTCCTTCCTCCAGAGAGAACCAAGACTGGACCCTATCCAGTGGCCCTCATCCCTGGGCAGTTCCAGGACTATTACAAAAGGTATGGTTCACTAATCAAAAAACTAGTCTTCATGAATGCAGGTCCTGACCTCTAAAGATATTTGAATAGCTGATAAATTGACGTTCCTGTGTTTGATACAGGTACTCTCCCAATGAGCTGCGCTACTTGCCCCTGAACACAGCCCTGTTCGAGCCCCCCCTGGACCCGGAGCTGCCTGCCCTGGACAGCGATGGGGACTCGGACGATGCAGATGACAACAAGGGAGAAGAGGGCAAGAAAAATTCAGTAAGAAACTGGATCCTGGAACTGGTTTTACACAGCTAGAGATGCGAAGACATATTGTATTGTATTACCAGTAAATGCCTAGAGCTGCTCTGTAAGTTGACTTCAATGTAAACTCCTTTGCAGCTTGCTTGAATAGTAAGAACTGAATTGTGTCTACAGGACAGCTCATCTGGAAACACCTCAGATGGGGACAGTCAGGACAGTGGAGTGCAGTCAAAGGGCAAGGCCAAGGACAGGACTGCCACCCCGGCTAAAGATGCCACCCCACGCCTCAACCAACACAAATCTGTCCCTGGGTACAAGGTAGAAGAAAAAAGCCCCTGACTTTCTCTTCCCTTTACCCTTCTAGCTTCTTCAGCACTTTCAGTAGAGAACCTCCTTTGTCCCCACCCTAACACACACACACTCCACCAGGTGGCAATAGTTATTTATTGGGGCAACACTCAAGTCTGTGGACTTGTTCTGCCTTCCCTCTTTCACTTGGTCCAGTTTGTTACTGATGGTTCCATATCAACCGTATGGTTAAAATGCTGATGGTTCCGTATGGTTAAAACTAATTATTTATATACAGTATATACACTAGATGACTGACGGGGTTCTGTTTTGAAGCCACCACGACTCCATCTTGACACTCCCCCACCATTGTAAAAAAAAAAAAAAAAAGCTATAAAAATGCATTTATTAATGTCTACATTTGTTTTTGCCACATTTATTCTATTACAGAAACATTTAATGCATACTTTTAAATTACATTATGTGAACTGAACATAAAAAGTAAAGCTAAAATCCTTAATTGAAACAATAACAAAGCGTACACCCCGCCTCTGTTTTGGTAAAAAGCTGACGAATGGGCCTGGAGAAATGTAACCACTCTCAGATGAATAGACAGAGCTATGGATGCAAGGACTGACCATCCATGATACCAACATTATAGATTGAACCATGTTTTGAGGTATACAGTGTTTGTTTCCATTTACATTGTTTACAAACATTGGAGTAAAACAAGCTTCTATTTTGGGTTCTGATGGGGAGGACAGTTAAACTAAGCTCACGAGGCATTTAGAAGTTATATTCTTCAAGAATCAATGGGTATACAGTACTAGTCAAAAGTTTGGACACACCTACTCATTCCAGGGTTTTTCTTTATTTTTTACTATTTTCTAGATTGTAGAATAATAGTGAAAATATCAAAACTATGAAATAACACATATGGAATCATGTAGTAACCAAAAAAGTGTTAAACAAATCAAAATATATTTTATATTTGAGATCGTTCAAAGTAGCCACCCTTTGCCTTGATGACAGCTGTGCACACTCTTGGCACTCTCTCAACCAGCATCATGAGGTAGTCACCTGGAATACATTTCAATTAACAGGTGTGCCTTGTTAAAAGTTAGTTTGTGGAATTTCTTTCCTCCTTAATGCGTTTGAGCCAATCACTTGTGTTGTGACAAGGTAGGGGGTATACAGAAGATAGCCCTATTTGGTAAAAGACCAAGTCCATATTATGGCAAGAACAGTTCAAATAAGCAAAGAGAAACGACAGTCCATCATTACTTTAAGACATGAAGGTCAGTCATTCCGGAAAATTTCAAGAACTTTGAAAGTTTCTTTAGTGCATTTGCAAAAACCATCAGCGCTATGATAAAACTGGCTCTCATGAGGACCGCCACAGGAAAGGAAGACCCAGAGTTACCTCTGCTGCAGAGGATTAGTTAATTAGAGTTAACTGCACTTCAGATTGCAGCCCAAATAAATGCTTCACAGTGTTCAAGTAACAGACATATCTCAACATCAACTGTTCAGAGGAGACTGCGTGAATCAGGCCTTCATGGTCAAATTGCTGCAAAGAAACCACTACTAAAGGACACCAATAAGAAGAAGAGACTTGCTTGTGCCAAGAAACACGAGCAATGGACATTAGACCGGTGGACATCTGTCCTTTGGTCTGATGAGTCCAAATTTGAGATTTTTGGTTCCAACCGCTGTGTCTTTGTGAGACGCAGAGTAGGTGAACGGATGATCTCTGCATGTGTGGTTCCCACCGTGAAGCATGGAGGAGGAGGTGTGATGGTGTGGGGGTGCTTTGCTGGTGACACTGATGGTGATTTATTTAGAATTCAAGGACACTTAACCAGCGTGGCTACCACAGCATTCTGCAGCGATACGCCATCCCATCTGGTTTGCGCTTAGTGGGACTGTCGTTTGTTTTTCAGCAGAACAATGACCCAACACACCTCCAGGCTGTGTAAGGGCTATTTGACCAAGAAGGAGAGTGATGGAGTGCTGCATCAGATGACCTGGCCTCCACAATCACCCGACCTCAACTCAATTGAGATGGTTTGGGATAGGTTGGACCGCAGAGTGAAGGAAAAGCAGCCAACAAGTGCTCAGCATATGTGGGAACTCCTTCAAGACTGTTGGAAAAGTGGCGCAGTTGTCTAAGGCACTGCATCGCAGTGCTAGCTGTGCCACTAGAGATCCTGGTTCGAGTCCAGGCTCTGTCGCAGCCGGCCGCGACCGGGAGACCCATGGGCGGCGCACAATTGGTCCAGCGTCGTCAAAGATAGGGGAGGGTTTGGCCGGCAGGGATGTGGGTTCGTTTCCCACGGGGGGCCAGTATAAAAAAATAAAAATAACATGCATTCACTGACTGTAAGTCGCTCTGGATAAGAGCATCTGCTAAATGACTAAAATGTAAATGTAAAGGATTCCAGGTGAAGCTGGTTGAGAGAATGCCAAGAGTGTGCAAAGCTGTCATCAAGGCAAAGGGTGGCTACTTTGAAGAATCTAAAATCTAAAATATATTTAGATTTGTTTAACACTTTTTTTGGTTACTACATGATTCCATATGTGTTATTTCATAGTGTTGATGTCTTCACTATTATTCTACAATGTAGAAAATAGTAAAAATAAAGAAAAACCCTTGAATGAGTAGGTGTGTCCAAACTTTTGACTGGTACTGTATATCATTAATTTAAATCCCAAAGTTGATGTAGCAGCTAAGGATTCAAGCTTTAAAGTATTATTTTGAGAAAGTACCAATGTTACTGTCCCCACTACAACAATAACAAATATTTAAATACATGTAATTTTGTCCTTGAAACATTTAATTGAAATACTGTATAATTCCGTTCATTCCTATGCTTCTTCTGGGCAGTGCCAATATGGCCGACCGGTGACTTCAAAGCGTCTCATTGGCCAATACATAGCATCAGCAATCCAGGGTTTATATACATCATTGGTTAAAACACTAATGGTTCCATATCAGACTTTATGAGCAATAACATTTTGGAGTAGTTCTGTCACATCTGGGATTTTGTCTTCACAGCACTTTTAATTGGTCCTAAAGACTTGTACATTTTTCACCGTATTCTTTGAATGTCTTAATATACCTCTTTTCTGTGTACTTGGCAACAGACTAATTAAAGGGATAGTTCACCCAAATTACAAAATGACATTGGTTTCCTTACCTTGTAAGCAGTCTATGGACAAGGTATGACAGCGATCCATGCGTTGGTTTAGTTTCCATGGCACTGTTTCCAAATTCTAATGTTTTAGCATTTGTGGCACAAATCCATTTCAATTCATGGGACCGATTATTAGCTTTTTCGTGCATCATGTTCAAATAATTTATAAGTGACTTTGTTTTTACAATACATTTTCAATACTTTCGGATGATTTGGACGTGATGTGTGAAAAATGCTAATATCGGTCCCATGACTTAAAGCGGTTTTGTGCCACAAATGCTAAAACGTTAGCATTTGGAAACGGTGCCATGGAAACTAAACCAAACCATGGATTGTTGTCATACCTTGTCCATAGACTGCTTACAGGGTAAGGAAACCAACATGTAATTTGGATGAACTATCCCTTTAAGACAAGTGATCAGAAATATTTGGCTGCTAGATTAATTGTTTTGAAACATCATACAGTATTTCTTGTTATGAAACAGACTTTATAAGATGCATACATTTTATTTAGTAGTAGCACTTAAACTACGGTAATACTTGAGTGTTTGAACGTTTTATAATTCAACTTATGTTTCAGTACTTTTAATGCAGTATTCTTGTGCTGTAAATCTATAACGGTTGTTTTGATATAACCTTACATACTGTTCTTTGTTTTTTTATGAGACTGGAGAACACAATGTCAGTGTGCCAGAGGCCTGTTAATACATGTTCTATATGTTGGCTTTTTTGCTTTCGATTGCCTCTGAAAGTTGTTGTGTTAAGTTAAAATTATTTGATAAGAGTATGGCATTTCTGGGATCAACATGATCTACCTTCTGGCAATTTACGCTCATCTGTCTTACTGCAAGGGCAACATGGGAGATGATTAAAAGTTTGTTTGCCAAAAATGACAGCAAGAGCAGTAAGCACAAATATATCTTGTCATGGCATGACTGTGTTATTACTACACCACATCCTACATCAGGATTTGATCATTGGTCATTGATTGATGTGGAGAGCTCATAACTTTCCACAGGGATTGATTTGTCTGTTACCTTTCCAATCAGCATGTTTCCCTGTTACCTTTCCAATTAGCAGGTTTCCAAAGGGAATTTGAACAATTTATTTTGAGTGCCCCAAACCAAACTTTTAAATGTTTAAAAACGTTTCTCTACTTACCTTCCATTTATTGTTAGTATGTAATGAATGTAATTAGACTAAATATCTTAGATGTGTTTGGAATTTAACACAAACTTTACAATATCAGAGCTCATTGAATTTAAGGCTAAAGTCGATACAGTACTTGCAGAATAATTACCCAGCCATAGATAACATGGCCTTAAAGTTGACTTTATTATCATTTTAATACAAGTTAGAGTTCAGGAGCTGTACAATAAATTGATCATTTTCATACTGGTAATGGTATGAATATCCTGTGTTGGCACTACACTGCAGGGGTAGCCTTCTGAAGCCTAACAGAAAATATGTAGCCTTTTCTTCTTATTTTGCACCAGTCAGATGAAACATTTCAAGATGGCAACACCAAACATTTGACATTTTGAAAATGTATTATATATCCATGAACACATAGAAACCTACTTCATACTCATGGGCTGTGTCCTCCCAACTGATTGCACACTTGTCATTCCCAATATTTGTGCAGACTGTCCACCTAAGTAGGTACAGTTTATGTTCAATTTGTTCCCGACTTGTACCCTTCCCTCTTAGAATGTCCATTTGTCTTACATGTTTGATGTGAGTGTAATGACAAAGGTGTCCCTCTGAGTGTCATACCTTCCTTTTGGATAAATATTTTGTTCTCCTAGTTTAGCTGGCAACCTTTTTCTGTGGAGACATCTTGTATTCAATTAGCTGTCCTTTTATTAATTGAACTGTGTGTCTCTAACCTCCGGTTCGCCCTCCCACATGTTTCGTCATTTGTTTGTTTTAGAAAGGCTTTTACTGCTCTTATCTAATCCAATACTTTTTATGTAGGAAAAGCTTTGATATGTCAGTCTTTAGACACAGTTAACCATTGAAATAAAGATTTCAAACAAATAGACTGTTCAGAGATGTTTTGATTCTATTAGCAGCACAGAGACTGAGGTCCTGTAATGAAATACCTGCAGGGAAATAGTTTTCCTCCTGTCAGAAATCACTTTGGCTAACTAACGTTTTATATGGAAACACCTCGGTGTCTACAGGAGGGACATTCAAGTGTTTAACCTGTTATGAGCAGCTGTGGGGGACACCGTGGCACATCCAAATGGATCTTAAATCAGCTTGACCTCTTGGTGTTTGCCTTTGGAGATTTTGAGATCCAAGTATCATAGTCTCCCAGTCCCCATGAGACAAAAGGCTTTTCCTAGTCATTCTTGTTTGGTGTTGTGAAGTAAGAAGCACCTAACAAGATTGGATCTATTGCGAGTTAAATAAATTAATATATACCTCATATCAGGCCTTTTAGGATTTAACACGTTGTACAGTATAATGTGTGTTACCCAGAAGCCCTGTGTCACATGGTGCATTAGGCCTTGTTGCTAAATATGATAGAATTGTTCTGTCCTTGCAGCCTAAGGTCATACCCAATGCTATATGTGGAATTTGCCAGAAGGGTAAGGAGTCCAACAAGAAAGGAAAGCCAGAAGCTCTCATTCACTGCTCACAGTGCAAGAACAGTGGTAAGTAGAACTTCTGTTTTGTTTTTTAATTAAAACTGACGAATTGCACAGGCTTGTTCATAATGACCATTAAGCCTCTAAAATATGAGCAACAGAACTTAATCTGATTTGTCGGGATCACAAATTGGAATTATACAGTGTGTTTTGGAGTAGTGCTATGGTGCGATCATTGTGTGTGTCCCAGGTCACCCATCGTGCCTGGACATGAGTGAGGAGCTGGTGGGTCTGATTAAGACCTACCCGTGGCAGTGCATGGTGTGTAAGACGTGCACGGTGTGTAAGCATCCCCACCACGAGGAGGAGATGATGTTCTGTGACAAGTGTGACCGGGGCTTCCACACCTTCTGCGTGGGCCTGGACTCCATCCCTCTAGGTGAGCTCTCTCTGGGTCTGTTCAAATACTTTAAGAATGCATCCTTCCTCCTTTCCTTGGTGAAAGCTTTATGATAAATTCGTTGCTTGCGCCTATCAATATATGTTAGATCAGTGATTAGGAAGGAAGGGAGGGTATGTAAAAATAAAATATATATATACAAATCTCTGTCTTGCTGTTGCACTCTGTCTCTCTCTTTCTCTCTCATTGTATCTTATCTTATTATTCTTTTATGGACTTTTGGGGTGATTGAATTTCTGGTTTTATGTGAAAACAACATTAATTTGCGTAGCCAACTGAGCTTGGTGAATAATGCTAAATTAGAAACCTGTTTTTAGAGTCTTCCAAGACTGACATTTTAAGATTTTTTTGTGCTGTCAAGAATGGTTGTGTGTTACCTCAACTTGCTATAATTAGCGTTGCTGCAAATTAAACATCGGAAAGTTCATGTTTGGAATGTGGTCGAAGTGCTTTAAAAGTGTTGAAATCAAATGTTGGAAAGAGACGGTTTTGTCTAGATGCCTTTTAGTCTGAAAGATCCCACAATGCATTCTGTTTTCTAGCCTTTGGTTTGATGTGGATCAACTGAAATATGTAACATAATTGTTTTGTGTTTTTATCCTCAGGTTGCTGGGTTTGTGAGTGTTGCAACAAGGAGTTCACAACCCCCAAGAACAAAGGAGGAACAAAAAGAAAAACTATGTCTAAATCTGCACATAAATAGAATGTGATTACAGGCTGATCAAATCAACTAGCTAACCCTTTTGATACTTTTTGTACTTTAGATTGTGTTAAGATTAAGTTTGTAATCCTGTATATATAGATTTGCTTTGTCTTAATTATATTTGAAATGTCATTGCCACTGACGTTATATAATTTTTGCCAGTAAATGTTTTTTTAATGATATAACACATGACTGTCCTGAAGTTTCATTAAAACACAGATGATGTCCCAAAAATGCCCTTCCTACCATTGTGCACCAATAACTTCTCATCAAGGTAGTGCCAGCAAATACCACCTATTCCTCTCTGATAAGTTACAATAGAACTCTGAATTAACCACATCATGTTGTTGTTGTGTGACATTTCTAAGACCAAAATCAATACAACCAGACATACAGCAGGCACCACAGTATCTCCTCATGCATATTTGACAAGGACTGGCTTAAGTGTGACCAATTAGTCACCTGGAGAGGTGGCCCTATGTAGCATCTGAACAGTTCTGTCCAGGTGAGTCAAAGAGATCAGTTTGCCTCTTATGGTTCCTTTGGGCCCTGGTGTGAAGTCTTAGAGCAGCTGCTACGTGGCGACCAGGTAGACTACAGTAAGTGAGAGACGTGCGTGGGTCCCTGTCATCTGATATGTGAGGGTGTGGAGTACCATGGGCAGTTGGGAGCAGCAGCAAGACACTGTAACGATACGCGTGTGAACGCTCGCTGCGTCTCACAGAAAGGTCAGTGTTCCACTCAACAGCCGGTGTTTGTTTTGAGGAGCCCATTCAGTCAACATATCAAATGTTATTGGTCACATACACATAATTAGCAGATGTTATTGCTGGTGTAGCGAAATGCTTGTCTTCCTAGCTCCAACAGTGCAGTAGTATCTAACAATTCACAACAATACACACAAATCTAAAAGTAAAAGAATCATCAGCGTTCAACAACTGAAGCCTGGCTTGGTCTGTTGAAAAGTGGTCTGTTGTGAATTTGTATAAATTGCAGTGTATATGAGCCATCAGTTGAAATGAGGTACTTTCTATCTTTGGGGCTAGAAGAGGAATGGCGTTTTATGCATGCTGGTCTAAACCTCGAGAGCAGTAAGAACTTGCTGTGCTGTTTCCTAAATTACCACTGGATGGAAGCCAAGAGCTTTTGGTTGAGCCACCTTTGCTCTCTGTCAATATCCCTGGTTGGTATGAAGATGCTGTAGAGTGAACAAATACCATATTCAATAGCTTGAAAGATTCCTGCTCTTGAAGGTTTGCCCCAGATTTTGTACCAGTTTGCACTTTGTATTTAGGAAATAATGCATCCTGTTGCCTCACAATGTTTGGGAACACAGCAAACCAATGTTCTGGGGAGAAGAGATGTTCTTAACCAGTGGGCCAATGTTTGCGACCTTTTTGTTAAGAAATTTGATGGAACTTTTTGGAAATGAGTAATTGTTCAATTTTTATTCACTGCAGACTTCTTTATTGCTATCAGATGTCAAAGCGCTCTCTTGGGTTGATGATTTTCAGCATAACATGTCAAACTCTGAGATATTTTTTTATTGCAGTCTGCCAAACTGTATTGCCCTGGAGTCTCTTGTTGGCGTACTGAGATAAGGACGTCTTTCACAAGGAGTCTTTACATTTACATTTACATTTTAGTCATTTAGCAGACGCTCTTAACCAGAGCGACTTACAGGAGCAATTAGGGTTAAGTGCCTTGCTCAAGGGCACATCAACGTCATTTAGCAGACGCTCTTAGCCAGAGCGACTCACAAATTGGTGCGTTCACCCTATAGCCAGTGGGATAACCACTTTACAATTTGGGGGGGGGGGGGGGGGGTTAGAAGGAATACTTTAGCCTATCCCAGGTATTCCTTAAAGAGGTGGGGTTTCAAATGTCTCCGGAAGGTGGTGAGTGACTCCGCTGTCCTGGCGTCGTGAGGGAGCTTGTTCCACCATTGGGGTGCCAGAGCAGCGAACAGTTTTGACTGGGCTGAGGGGGAGCTGTGCTTCCGCAGAGGAAGGGGAGCCAGCAGGCCAGAGGTGGATGAACGCAATGTCCTCGTTTGGGTGTAGGGACTGATCAGAGCCTGAAGGTACAGGGGTGCCGTTCCCCTCACTGCTCCAAAGGCAAGCACCATGGTCTTGTAGCGGATGCGAGCTTCTTTATGACCAGGATTTATGTACAAACTCTGGGACACACTTTATAAAGAGGGAGTGAAAGTACCATCTTTTTTGATAGATTGCAACACTTATGTGTTAAAATACTTTTACACAATGTGTCATGAAATAAAACCGATCCTCTCATGAAGCCAGCAGTAGTGGTCAGAGAGATAACAGCCTGTGGCTGTCTGAACCTCTAGCAGGCTACTTCCTGTGCTCTGCTCCCATGCCTCCCTCCTCTGGCTTGGGTCCAAACAAACACTGGATCACTTGTTACTATGTATCAATTATTAATCGGGTAAGCTCATGGAAATTACAAACTGATTATGGCTTTTAAATTAAAAGGCACCTCTGCTGTTTTGACTTGCGGTGGATATAGGCTCAGGGTGTCCTCTCTTGTTGCCAGGCTGTTAAACCAGGTGTAATGGTCCTCTCTTGTTGCCAGGCTGTTAAACCAGGATGTTAAACCAAGTGTAATGGTCCTCTTGTTGCCAGGTTGTTAAACCAGGATGTTAAACCAGGTGTAATAGTCCTCTTGTTGCCAGGCTGTTAAACCAGGTGTAATGGTCCTCTCTTGTTGCCAGGCTGTTAAACCAGGTGTAATAGTCCTCTCTTGTTGCCAGGCTGTTAAACCAGGTGTAATGGTCCTCTCTTGTTGCCAGGCTGTTAAAAACCAGGTGTAATTATAATCCTCTGCTTGTTGCCAGGCTGTTAAACCAGGTGTAATAGTCCTCTCTTGTTGCCAGGCTGTTAAACCAGGTGTAATGGTCCTCTCTTGTTGCCAGGCTGTTAAACCAGGTGTAATGGTCCTCTCTTGTTGCCAGGTTGTTAAGCCAGGATGTTAAACCAGGTGTAATAGTCCTCTCTTGTTGCCAGGCTGTTAACCAGGTGTAATGGTCCTCTCTTGTTGCCAGGCTGTTAAACCAGGTGTAATGGTCCTCTCCTTGTTGCCAGGCTGTTAAACCAGGTGTAATGGTCCTCTCTGTTGCCTGGCTGTTAAACCAGGATGGTTAAACCAGGTGTAATGGTCCTCTTGTTGCCCGGCTGTTAAACCAGTGTAATGGTCCCCTCTTGTTGCCCGGCTGTTAAACCAGGTGTAATGGTCCCCTCTTGTTGCCAGGCTGTTAAACCAGGTGTAATGGTCCTATTGTTGCCAGGCTGTTAAACCAGGTGTAATGGTCCTCTCTTGTTGCCAAGCTGTTAAACCAGGTGTAATAGTCCTCTCTTGTTGCCAGGCTGTTAAACCAGGATGTTAAACCAGGTGTAATGGTCCTCTCTTGTTGCCAGGCTGTTAAACCAGGTGTAATGGTTCTCTTGTTGCCAGGTTGTTAAGCCAGGATGTTAAACCAGGTGTAATAGTCCTCTCTTGTTGCCAGGCTGTTAAACCAGGTGTAATGGTCCTCTCTTGTTGCCAGGCTGTTAAACCAGGTGTAATGGTCCTCTCTTGTTGCCAGGCTGTTAAACCAGGTGTAATGGTCCTCTCTTGTTGCCCGGCTGTTAAACCAGGATGTTAAACCAGGTGTAATGGTCCTCTTGTTGCCCGGCTGTTAAACCAGGTGTAATGGTCCCCTCTTGTTGCCCGGCTGTTAAACCAGGTGTAATGGTCCCCTCTTGTTGCCAGGCTGTTAAACCAGGTGTAATGGTCCTATTGTTGCCAGGCTGTTAAACCAGGTGTAATGGTCCTCTCTTGTTGCCAAGCTGTTAAACCAGGTGTAATAGTCCTCTCTTGTTGCCAGGCTGTTAAACCAGGATGTTAAACCAGGTGTAATGGTCCTCTCTTGTTGCCAGGCTGTTAAACCAGGTGTAATGGTTCTCTTGTTGCCAGGTTGTTAAGCCAGGATGTTAAACCAGGTGTAATAGTCCTCTCTTGTTGCCAGGCTGTTAAACCAGGTGTAATGGTCCTCTCTTGTTGCCAGGCTGTTAAACCAGGTGTAATGGTCCTCTCTTGTTGCCAGGCTGTTAAACCAGGTGTAATGGTCCTCTCTTGTTGCCAGGCTGTTAAACCATGTGTAATGGTCCTCTCTTGTTGCCAGGCAGTTAAACCAGGTGTAATGGTCCCCTCTTGTTGCCAAGCTGTTAAACCAGGTGTAATGGTCCTCTTGTTGCCTGGCTGTTAAACCAGGTGTAATAGTCCTCTCTTGTTGCCAGGCTGTTAAACCAGGATGTTAAACCAGGTGTAATGGTCCTCTTGTTGCCCGGCTGTTAAACCAGGTGTAATGGTCCCCTCTTGTTGCCCGGCTGTTAAACCAGGTGTAATGGTCCTATTGTTGCCAGGCTGTTAAACCAGGTGTAATGGTCCTCTCTTGTTGCCAAGCTGTTAAACCAGGTGTAATAGTCCTCTCTTGTTGCCAGGCTGTTAAACCAGGATGTTAAACCAGGTGTAATGGTCCTCTCTTGTTGCCAAGCTGTTAAACCAGGTGTAATAGCCCTCTCTTGTTGCCAGGCTGTTAAACCAGGATGTTAAACCAGGTGTAATAGTCCTCTCTTGTTGCCAGGCTGTTAAACCATGTGTAATGGTCCTCTCTTGTTGCCAGGCTGTTAAACCAGGTGTAATGGTCTTCTCTTGTTGCCCGGCTGTTTAACCAGGTGTAATGGTCCTCTTGTTGCCAGGCTGTTATACCAGGTGTAATAGTCATCTCTTGTTGCCAGGCTGTTAAACCAGGTGTAATGGTCCTCTCTTGTTGCCAAGCTGTTAAACCAGTTGTAATAGCCCTCTCTTGTTGCCAGGCTGTTAAACCAGGTTGAATGGTCCTCTCTTGTTGCCAGGCTGTTAAACCATGTGTAATGGTCCTCTCTTGTTGCCCTGCTGTTAAACCATGTGTAATGGTCCTCTCTTGTTGCCAGGCTGTTAAACCAGGTGTAATGGTCCTCTCTTGTTGCCCGGCTGTTAAACCAGGTATAATGGTCCTCTTGTTGCCAGGCTGTTAAACCAGGTGTAATAGTCATCTCTTGTTGCCAGGCGGTTAAACCAGGTGTAATGGTCCTCTCTTGTTGCCAGGCTGTTAAACCAGGATGTTAAACCAGGTGTAATGGTCCTCTTGTTGCCAGGCTGTTAAACCAGGTGTAATGGTCCTCTCTTGTTGCCAAGCTGTTAAACCAGGTGTAA